TCTTGTTGCCAAAGAAGACCGAAACCAAAAAAGCCTAAATTTGTTTCAATTATTGAAACATTGTACATAGAAACGGCCCTTTTCAGGGCCACCAAAATATTTTTCATAAAGAATTTTTATAAAATCCATTTGTCAATTGGAATCAGAATAATGAAATTTCTATTTATATATAATAAAGATCATTTTTAGGGACTGTAAGACTAACCAACATTGATCAAAATCATAATTTAGGTTGAATAGAATACACACAATAGATGGAACATTAGCCAACTTGTTATTTTTTTTAAGTCTGTTTCGTTTTTATTTTCATCAATTTTTGCTTTCCACTACCTACTGAAGAATGGCAAAAATTAAACACATACAAACGTACATTTTTACAATAGTTACACACATTATGGGGTAGGGAACGACGTGTATTAACAGTAGTTGAACAATACATTTTTTCGGAAAATTCCACAGTCTATGCACCCTTATTCAATATTAATTTGGAATTTTCCATTGCATTCTGCCATAGTTACGTGTATGCACCACGTATATTCTAGAAAGATCGAATTTAGATGGTATAATGTACTTTTTAATTGTCAATGTTTGTTCAAAGCCGCTTTGAAATACAGAAGCGTCGTTGTGAAGCATTTTTTTATGTTTTATATGAGCGACAAACTGTTTGCGGACGTGTACCGCATTCCGCTTGATACCAATGGTGTAACGGCGTTTGGTGTTGTTCTGCGCAAATGGAACGTTCGAGAAGCATTACCAGCAGCAACGACAACAACAAAATCATAAAATTTTAACGACATGAAAATGGATCAATCGAAAAAAAGTCATGCGATGATGTTAACCAATCCTTATTGTATAATTGTAAACGAAATTGACCATTGCCAAATTTATATTGATATTTAAAATGTTCAATGGCAAAAATGTGAGAAAAAAATGGTCTGTTTTTGTGAACGGTCTACGTGAACGTCAACATGAACCAGCTGATACACGTGGAAACAAAAACAACACTTGCGCTTGGCTTTCAACTTATGTTTTATACCAGTTAAGAGATTGTCCGACGCTATTCATTTTATCCATCGAAACAATCAGCAGGAAGGCAAATGAAGTGTTTAGAAGCAATTGTAAAGTGACCACTTTTTTCATAAATCAATTTTACCGTGAATTTACGGTACAATTAGTATTGCTCAAAAGTACGTAATAAAATGAAGTGATTCGTTGACAGTTTATGATTGAATTTTATTCAAAGGGAATTCATTTCGACGAGTCGCATCGGGTAAGTTGGCGACCGTCGCAAGAATCAGCGCAATCGCATGTATCGTACACACAAAAATAAAACGTAATAAGAAAACGACGAACCAGTTATTGCATATTTGGGTGTAGATTTCTATCAAATGAAATTGTTAAGTAGAACAGCTACGATACGGTGTGTCGATTCGACGTTTAAAAAAGTTATTTTCTCTCAAGCGTACGCACTTTAAGTAATAAATTCAACAGAGATGGCTATAGCATGTTAGAAACAAACATACACACATAAGCAACCGACCGCATGCGGATCACATCGCCGTTCGCAACGGAGCGTGCGTTTTGTACAAGCGAACAAAATGTATCAAATCCAACCAAAATATTATTATTCAACGGCCGACCATACGGAGTGTTGTTTGTAAATACGAAACGCGGATAAAACTTGTGTGTGACTTGTTTAACATAGCATAATACCAGCTGAAGTCTCATCGAGCAGTGAACAGAAAATATATATATACATTGTACGACGACGACAGCGAGAGAATCACATTTTTATTCCTCTTCATCATCCAACACACATTTTATATAGGCGGAACCAGAAAATACACACGGGCGACAAAAAGAAAATACGCAATAGCCGAAAAAAATTTCAACGTTTTTTTTGCGGTATCGCAAAATACACTTTTTGCCAAAATAAATCTATACGGTGTTACTATTTGATTATCATTCTTCGCATAAAGAAGCATTTTCACGTTAACATTTTGTGTTTGAATCGCTTGAGACGAGATTCATTTTTATTCTCACAATAAAAAGTGAATCTCGTAAAAAAAAATTCTAACCCCACAAAAAACACGCGTTTAAAATTACAAAAACTTCAATCAAACTAAACCATATAAATATAACATATAAAACCGGTATAAACGACAAATAATAAATAATTTTAAATAATTCAGTCGCAATACGCACTTGTGAAAAAAGTTTTCGACGCACATTTACTTGCGAGAAGCAAACGCAAACGTTAGTTTGTTTGTCTTTCTTCCGTGCTGTGACTAGCCGAATACTGAACGACAGAAAAAAAACACGCGCTCCGTGCTTACACATAGTCATTTGATAAATTGAATTCAATAATTTAAAAAAAAGAATAAGCTTGTTAACCAAAGCTGATTAATTGAGAACAATTTAAGCGAAACATTTAAACATAACCAAAATAGAATTTTGTGCGAGTGTCAAAAGTTGTGAGCTGACAATTGTTTCGTATTTCGGTGGAAACAAAAAATAAACGGGAAAAAAAGTAAAAATGGAAATTGAAAACGTGCCAATCGACGCGGTCGTATTGAGTAGCAGTCCAAAGAGTGAGAATGGAGTTGTTGCCAATGGAACGGCAAACGGTGAAAATGGAACGGCTGCCATGAAAAAGCCATCACCACCATCCGAAGGAAAGAAGCGTTCGAAGAAAATTGCACGGCAAAATAGTCGTGAGGGACAACAACCAAATCATCATTTGAATGGTTCGTTGAATGGTTTTATTGCACCGCAACGCAGATGGAAAAATTCAAGACGATCGCGTAATGGACACGGTCGTGGTTTGCCAAAGAAAAATGGTGGCGGCGGTAAAGGTATCTGGGGTTTGCCCGGTTCGGAAATTCTTGAAGAGCCATTGGAAATTGATCGTAATGATCCAAATTATGATCCAACGGAAGTCAATGATGGCAACATTGAACTTAAAGAAGTGGTCGCCGAAACGACACCAGAAGAATTCTTCAAAATGATTGAACCAATAATTTTGGAGTATTTTGAGCACGGTGATACAAACGAAGTGTCCATAAGCCTCGATGAAATTATTATCGGCTCATTACGACCATTAGTCACCACTTACTCAGTACAAATTGCACTGGATCACAAAGATTCACAACGAGAAATGGTCTCGGTGCTCATTTCTGATCTCTATGCACGGGTTGTAACTTCACGCGATATCGCAAAGGGTAAGTGGTCTTTTGTAAATCATTTTATTTTTTTCCCATTTTTGATTTTTATCTTAATCACATATTTCAAAGAAAAAGAAAACTATTGTATCTGGCGCGATGAATCAATCGCGGTGTTAAGATTGTTTTAGTCGGATGAAATTGAATTTTCCCTTTCTACAATCAACGGATGGAAGTAGTGTATGACGCGATGTGATGCGTTGATTTAATTCTATACAATCAACGTCTGATATACATTATATTTCATATCAAACAAACATATCACACACACACACGCGTGCACACGGCCATTTACTGTGCAATTTTGCATTTCGTCTGAATTAATATAGGCAATACTTCAATGCCAGCCATAATTGTAAATATGTGCTAATATGTTGCACATAACGATACATTTTTTCTGTTTCGTTCGTTGGGTCTCTTATCGAGTGGTTAAGCGCATAAAACGGCAGCAGTTCGTCTGAATAAAATATATAAAAAAACAGTCATTTTTGCATAAAGAGGCGACCGAATACAAACAGAATAACTGAATAAGCAGAAAAACGTCTTTTTTTATTCATGCCAAATGTGTGCTTCTCTTTAGGTCTTCGCTTCGCTTGCAGACAAAATATGCATTTACATAGGCCGTAAATTAATATAATATGTACGTACATGAAGATATGCGGCTATACTCTCAGCACCAATGATTGCAATGCAAAAGAGTGAAGAAGATGCGTTTATATGTTTGAAAACATAGCCAAACAAGTCGCGCAACCATGGCGCAGTATATATGTGCATATATACAAATTTATTTTTGTAACACTATCTGAAATCAGACACACAGCCTGCAAGCAATTGCATGTCAATTCGTCCATACTTTTCTGTTTCTCTCTTCATTTTCGTGTTGTGTCGTTTTTCTCTCCACTTTCTTGTCGCAATAGCCGTGTTTTTTTTGCTTCTTCTTCTTTTTCTTTACAATCGTACGATGATATTTTTGCTGCTTTGACTGTTCAGAGTTGGTTTCTTTGATAGTTGTTGGTTTTTTTTTTCTTCTTCTTTTTCGCTCCGTTGTTTTTGAATGCTTTCCTCTGTTACATGTCGGTAAATGCGCGTTATGAGCCGTTTATCTCTCACTCTCTTCACAGCCATTTCTCATGGAAATTGGTATTATGCTCGGTTGTGCATATGGTTGCGTGCGCCTGTATTTGTGCAAACAGCAGGCACAGTATTTTTTGAAGGTCAACTCTTACACACGCATACATCCAACAAATCCATCCACATTTACACAAACCAATTCACACAGACTCGTGCACACATTGAGAACTAGGCGCACACACCTCACTTCACTCTTCAGCTGAAGAGTCACTTTCCGTGTGTATACATTTTATAAATTCGTACAAAAATGGCTGTTCTTGTTCGTTATCGTCATGTTTTATTCTCTGCTCGTCGTTATTCTTCAATTTATGTTTTTGCTGATGTTATTTTAACGAACCATGCCATTTTCGATGAATGTTGCGGAAAAAAAAACACCCAAACAAAACAACAATGTACAACACAAGTAACCGTCAGAAATAATCACATTTGATGGACAGTTGGAGAGATTGTGTTGGAGCGAGAAAAAGAGTTGAGTGAATTTCGATTGCTAGAATTTTTTTCGGTAGTTTGAATTCAAACAACGCGATTTTCACTGTTCGGCTTAACCGTCACCAACACCAACATCATATGTTCGGACAATGTTTTTTTTACGCAAATGTAGCGTTCAGAGACACACTCGTGTACACGAACGACGGAAGCAACATCGAACAAATTCCCGAATTTTATATCCATATAAGTATACGCTCTGCACGATTTCAAATATGTATACGACCCTATATCGGTGTGGTTGTAAAAATTTCTATTTCAATTTCATTCTGGTACCGTATACTTTCGATGTTACCATCACACATGTATAGATATAAATATAAATTGGTCTGGCATTTTTAGGGACGCGACTGAAATCACTCTTCACTACATTTTTTCCTCTTTCTCTCATCAAAATCGGTCGGCTTTGAATTGTGTTTCGATTCTCTTTTGTTTTATTGTTGTTGTTGTTGTTTGGGTGTTGGATCGAGAATTCGATGTAAAACGATTATTTTGGTGGAGCGTGCGCGCATTTTTGAATGCTTTGCATTCAATTTATTAGAAACTGCGTAAATTCTGTCTCGGCCTATTCCAACAAAAATCACATTGAGCGTTGGATTCAAAGCTATGAAGTCATACCGCTGAATGGAATTCGGCATCGCCATTTACTAAACTAATGACTATTTTTTTGACAGAAATCGTTCCTCTCACATCACCCCTAACTCCTCCGAATTCTTTTATAGTTTTTGGTGTTGACACTGAAACGTGGAAATTTCCATTACATCTGCAATATGTTAGCAGCGATTCCAACTGTTTTTGGCTTTCAATTAGGGACCACACATTCACCAAACACATGGAACGCATTTAGTTTGAACAAATATAGGATTTATATTTGCCTTGTTGTTATTATTCATGCGTATCTTTCGTGGCAATGGATTTTCGTATTAATAATGTCATAAATGTGTGACAAAATTTAATGACAAATTAAAAGAGTCTTATCGTTAACGCTTTTTCTTTCTGCTTTTTTTCTTGGGTTGTAATGCGTTTTGTTGATAACGTGCCTGCAGGCAGCCACACGAAAAAGAAAGCCTACTGAAATTCAAAATTAAGCGATTATACGCTCACTCAGAATCAGCATAAACATTTTGCTGTAAATGAAGCAATTTTACACGTATCGCGTCTATTTTTAATATTTCACATCGTGTGTAAACAACAGATTTTCGTTTATTGTTGAGAACCTTATATATATAAATATTGTTTTGCTGACGTTGTTGATACAGTCGCTCCTCTTGTTTAGCGTGATGTGTTTGGTGCGCAAAAAAATGGGAGAGCAAAAAAAATATATAATCGCTTATTTGTTTGTCGTAGTTTGTATTGAGATTTCGATTTCAATTTTTATTACATTGATGAGGTATTTCAATAAGTAAGCGTACACACAGCGAAAAAAAGAACATAAAAAAGCGAAAAATCAATTTTACGAGCTATTTTTATTTAGTGGCGATATCGTACGATGGAAATTAAATTGATAACAATTCCAAACACGTTCGGAATAAAGTTTGTAAACACTTTGCACTCAGGTGTGTTCTGATAAAGCACTCAATAATGCAATAAACTGCATTAATCTCAAATCTCTGCATGTTCAGTATAGAAAAAATACAGAGATAGACTAGAAATAGATTAATAGTCCTTTCATACAAACTTCTTTGTCAATTGTCTTCGATGAAAATATACTTCGCTGGAATGGTGGGTAGATTATCCTATCGATGACTATAGGAAAAGCAAATCGCTTACTATTTAAAGAAATATTTTGAAATAAATATTGAAAGTCAGTTCAATTAATGGTATTCAATCACACAATAGACAATTTATTGAGAATAACATTTCCAGAATGAATTGAAAAAGAAATTGTATGTTTTTATGCATTTATTATTCTGCCATTATCCATTCTCCCTTTGTTGGGCACCACACGTATTCGTGCAAAACAGCAAAAACAAACTAACGACATAATGCTCCATCTTTTTAATTTATTCCGTCTAATGAGTGTCTGTTCTCGCGAAACCGCGCGTTGATTGAACGAAACGTTTCGGCATTTCACATGATGTGTACTGGTGTTTACTCTTTACGTAGAAAGAGCAGGAGAAAAACGTGATTAGATTATATAACACGTAAATATTTCCATTTGTGCTGTAATATTTGTTTTGAATGTTCCGTGCGGCGACCGTGTACTGATGCGCATTTTCAGTAATGATTCATGTTGTTGATTGTTTTTCATTTTCTATCTCTGTCTGTCGTGCGCGCGACCGCAATTCGTTCAAGTAAATTGTATTGTCCAGTCATCGATGTGTATAAATTCACGTTTGATTTCAATGTTTCAAGCACGAAAATCTAAATGCCAAGCAACTACATGTCCAGCTCAATGAATTCGATCGCTAATTCTTATGGTTTCATTTCAATGGCTCATAACATTGCCGGTATTCTCGATAAATTAACGAATAAATAAATTTATGAGTAAAAATGAAAAGTCTTCAACTATGAAATTAATGTTTATTGTTTTCCTCTTTTTATCTTTCACTTTTTTTCCGTACAGGTTACGACATGCTTCTAGCGAATTTGCCCGATTTAATATTGGACACACCGGAAGCTCCAACTTTGCTTGGCAATTTCATTGCACGATCGGTGGCCGATGATTGTATCCCACCGAAATACGTTACCAATCCCGATAACGCTGATCAATTGAATGAATATGCATTGGCAGCTATAAAACGTGCCGAAGCATTGTTATCGTTGAAACAAGGATGGGCACATTTGGACAATATTTGGGGTAAAGCTGGCCCATTGCGACCAGTCAAAAACATCACAAAACAAATGACATTATTATTGAAGGAATACATTTCATCGCGTGACTTTGACGAGGCAGCTCGTTGTTTGCGTGCACTTGAAGTGCCACATTATCATCATGAATTGGTGTACGAAGCCGTTCTCATGGCAATGGAATCGGTGAATCAACAAACCGGAGAGGCAATGTGTACATTGCTCAAAGCAATGGATGAAGCATGCCTCATTTTACCGGCTCAAATGGAACAAGTAAGAACCATTATTATGGTTTTTAATGCTATTTAATTTTGTTTTTGGATGAAAATTAGCATGACATTTTTGAATAATTTCTTTTTATCTTTGTCTATATCTTTTTTTTATTGTAGGGTTTTCAACGTGTGTATGAGGATATGCCGGACATTGTGTTGGACGTACCTCTCGCGTACATTATGCTGGATAAATTCGTGACCGAAAAATGCGGTATAGAGGGCTTTTTATCTGAAAAGATCATAAAGGGCATGCCGTCCAGGTTTGTATCCATTTTTCAATTGCCTTTTTTATTGATTTTTAACACTTTTTGTTATAGCTTTTCGTCATACGAAAAAATTATAGTCTTGTTATATGAACGAATGCCAAAACGATAAACCAATTACCGCTATTGATAAAATGAATAGAACGCCATTTGTCGGTTTTATTTCGCCATTCAAAACGAAAAAAAAAACAACTGAAAAATTAAAAACGTTTTCCAACTCTCTGACATTTCATATTTTTCACCTTTTCTACTATATACACCATAGATATTTATTTATATTATGAATTTATCGGTTCAAGAGAAACCATGAAATGAAGAAGAAGAAGGCAAACCGACAGCCATTTATCGTACTTCTTTCTTTTCTGTTGTTGTTTCACTCGTTCACTCGCTCTCTCTTCTCATGTAACGCCGCTATACAATGCACAATGCAAGTTCGATGCAATTATAGCGAACAATTTGAAGTCATTTCTCGGTGTAACGGACACGACTAACGCGCAACAACAACAACTACAAAGAACACTTATCGATTTATATATTTCAATGTGAACTAGTTGTTTATTTCTCAATTCAGCCATGTGCTTATCGCACACGATATTCGGTCGACATTTTCAGAGTTTGCTCACAAACGAATGAAAATCAACAAAATAATGCGGCACAAATTGAGCGAGTTTTCGAATTGCATGCATTCACATCGATGCAACTATCCTTGTATTCTGTGTGAATGTGTGTACGATTGGGTGTATTTGTTAAAATTCAGTTTAACATTAAATCGTCAATAAAATGAAACGACCCGAACTGATCTTTTTCATTTATACGATTTTTTTCTTCTTTCTATTATGGTGGATTGTGATAATAATTTTCAGTCCAAATACGGATGAAATATTGAATGGAAAACATCGTTGATAGTTTGTTCATTATTCGTTGTTGTGCGACTTTCGAAACCGAAAAAAATGGGCACATAAATAATGCCAGAGATAGAGAGAAATGCTGACTCGAGAGAATCAAATTACGGAGAAATTGTGGGCACAAAAGAATATAAATAAACCACCAAGAAAGCTCGATGCATTTTCAAACGGTGTGCTCTCTCGCTCTTTTTCTCTTGAATTGGTCGGTATGGATATGAATTCAAGCCAAATGCCGTATGATAATCATCCATGTACAAATTGCAAATTGCAATGCACATGGAATATCTACTTTTCCCATTTGCGATCAAATTTAATTGCCGGGCTATAAATTTTGCGTGAAGATTTAGTATACCGTGGTACACGAGCAAGAGATATAAAAAGCCATGACGACTGCCGAACAAATATTCGACTGTATCGTGTAATCAACGGTATTTTCGAGCAGAAGGTGAGCGCCGAACACGCCGACGACTGGAAAAAAGAAAAAAAATAACAACCATACATAGCATCATGTTAGGCAATTTACTTTTACCATGTGTGTGTGTGTGTGTGTTGGTACACAGTGCATTTTAATTTGCACATGTACTCCACTTAATTTAATATGCAATCGCTTGCATTTGTCGATGTCAGCCATCGATCGGTAGTTACAAATGTGAACGGCGCGACGCGAAAAGAGCAACAAAAATCAAAATATTAGATTCACTGTATATGCATCGCAATCTGGGGATTTTTTTTCATCTCGTTTTCCTTAAACAATAGAGCAGGAGAAAATACAAAATGAGATTGGCATCATTACTCCATTTATGGTCAAATCATTAAATTCAAATATCGAACGATTTCCGAACTTTAGATGTCGAAAGATCGAGTGAATCTGGCGGGGCGAACGAAAATGCAATTGAATTTTCGTCGTCTATCATTTGCGATCAAATAAATGAGACGGCAACTTTCAAAATATCTGAAACGTAACACATAAAACAAATTAGAAAAAAACGACAACAGTGCGCACGACTGTACACTTCACATCCATTTTTGATTGAAATTCAAAAAGTGCATCTCATTCCAAATCGTAAATGGTATTGAGTCACACACACTCAAAAAAAGACAACAACGATGATGGTAACAATACAAACCTTTTGAAAATGAACATTTAATCACAGATTGAGCAAGCCCGGTGTTGTTTCTTTTTTCATCGCAAGCACAGCGATTTGCGCATTTTGTTTTGCGTGCTTTTTAATTGAATGGCTAGCAATATAATAGATGTGTCTCTGGCAAGTGAAAGTAAAAATGTGCTGTGTGTGAGTTGGGGTTGTCCACACGATTTGTAATGCATATCGAGACGCTATCTTTTAACGAGCTTAAAATTTGTTACATTGTTCACATCGGAATGGCATTATGTGAGAACAAACGATGAATTTAAAATAAAAAAAAGAAAATAAAACCGAGCCACACCACCACCGACAACAAAAAATCATCAATTCATTTTTATGTAATTTGCTGTTGTGTGTCGTTGAGCTACTGCAACTACTCTCCGCTTTTAAGGTTATTCGGTTATTGAACTCACGACTTTGCTAGCAAATGATATACATTACCTTTCTCCCTCTCTATATCGCTCGTTCGCTCGCTCGATTGCTTGTTTGCTCCGCTTTTTTTCTATCAAAACAAGCTCATTTACTTGCATCCAACGCCAATCTAACGATTTCAATGTACATTGAAACGCTTTTCATTCGCTATTTCTATTTTATAAAATACATCCAAATGCAACTTGAAATAGTGCAACGACTCGACCGAGTAAATAAGTGACTACGACAATGTAGCTATAATCTATTAATTATATTTCAACGCAATAGAGTGAGATTCTTGTTTAAGTTGTTGTATCGCGCATTTTTTGTAAAATATATTTTCTGTTGTCATAGATCATGTCTTTTATAGTAAATAAAAACCTACATACATTAGTCGACACAAGGTATTGAACGAGCGTTACTTCTTCCATTCATTGTGGTGTCAGAAGAGTTGCTATGAATAAAAAAAAAGATACTGACCCGTACCATGTTCAGACGCTTATTTTGATTGAGAATACAATGGATTTTGCGCGGATAAAATGGGTTTATTTTGATTTAACACCCTGTGCACGGAATTGCCTACGTGCAAAATTACATCTCTAAGCACTTTGTTTGTAAGCTGAAATAAAATTAATGTGTGTACAACGCCAAACGATACGTGCAAAATCAAATGGACTAACGATAGTCGTCGATGGTGTTGTTGCATGCATACGCAGTTTTCTACGATATTCACACTATATAAAATGCATGGGCATTAAAGACTGTGTGTGAAGGCACGCGCATATCAAAGCAAAACATTTTTTTTTTTCACTACATATATACATATTGAATTCGAAGCCAAACATTCTAATGCACAACATGAAAATGTGTATCGCAATTTGAAACCTTCGAAATCGAATCACAATCAAACAATTGAGCTATATTCGTGTGGCTTGGAAAATTGTTTGGCTCTCTTCTTCTTCTATTTGTTTGTGTATTTAATTGATATTTTGACTAGCTTTTTTACATGATTGTAACCACTGCTGTTGTTGTGTTTTTTTTTTTCTGTTGTTCAATGAATAAAAAAATGCAAAACAGTCGCTTATTCACTTTGGACGATTTGTGTGATCGCGCCTCGAGTGGGCTTGTATGCATTTTCCCATATCATAGATTTTTGTTTTGTCTTCTTCTTTGCTTCAATTCAATGAAAACAGCTCGCGAATGGTCATTTACCTCAAAATGCACACCAAATACTACGAGCAAAAAAAATTATGGCTGCAGTTTTGCATTCGGGTCGCAAAACGAATCACAGCTTGATGTTGTAGTGTGTGTACTCTTCATTTTCACTTCGTCTCTTACCATATTTGCAAATCAATTCGATTACGTATCACAGAAAAACATGTGGCGCTTTGTATTTTTAGTGCAATATCATCATCATTGTCCCATGGTGCTGTCTCATTTTCACATGCGCATCAAAGCTTTTTCCCACTCACACTCACAACGCTCTTTTCATTCATATACGAACGCGAACAAAATTATTATGTAACAGTGTCAATGCACTGTGTTCGTTTATCACTTCCAATCCATTTTCATAGTGTCTAGATATTTTTTTGCTCGGTGTTGTTGCTTTTCGTTTTTTTATTTGCTTTACACAAAATTTATTTACTACTTTGAGCGCTTTGGCATCTCATTCAAAGTAAAGAATCAAAGAGAAGAAAAAAATAACTAAATAGAAACTACAACGATCAAATCACTCGATAAAATTGCTAGTTGTGTGAAATTTTTATTGCAGTTGTTGCTGCTTCTAAAATGAGAACTACGATTTCGAAGTGATTTTACTTGAGTGTGTGAAGCGCACATAGAGAGATAGACTAGGCGAGAGAAGGAGAATCAAATCTACAAATCGATTGTATCATATGATTCTTTTTATGGCGCTTGCTCATACGCAAGCCATACATTTTCGCAATACACACACACAACCTATATTTTGTTTTTCGGCCAAATCCAATTTGATTTTTCGCTTACAAAAAAATGTACTTCAAATTTTATAACAAAATTGCACTGGAGTGCGGAAGCGAATGAAGATAAGTCGAAAGATAACGAAAAAAATAAATCATATCATTATATTGTTGAGAGAGACACTAGTAAATCGCGCATAACAAGATACCAAAAATCATTTCGAGCGCATAAACATTGTTTGCAATTCGGTTTTCTCTCTCTTTTTTCTATATTGTGGCTGTTGTTTTTTTTTTTAATTCAGAAAAATGAATGCGTGTCACGAGGTTGATGACCGCTCTACTGCCGCACAAGAGAGTAGCAGCAGCAAACAACATCGGCGACGTCAAATGAGCGCAACGATCGTTCACACACAAACGCCAATTTTTCGTGATGAAATAACAAACACATTCATTTGCACAAACAGCAACAACAAAATCGAAAGAAAAAAAGGAAAAAGAAGAAGCAGAGAGAAAAAACGGCTGCGATTTTTTTTTTCATTGAAATCAAGCATAAACTAGATGTTTTTCATTCCTCTATTTCATTTCTCGGGTGCAAGCATATCGTTGTGGTCGACATCGTTGCCTTCATAAATTTGAGACGAACGATGACATTATGTAAAAGTAATTGGTGTAACACCCTTTCCCATCGTATTTGAATTACACGCACAATTCATAGAGAGGAAGAGAAAATTTATAAAACAATCACATCGCCAAAAATCGAAATTTCGAAAAAGACAAACAAAAAAATGAATTTCGGTGGTATGCCAGCACAATATGCCTTAATATTGCCCAAAAGGTGTGGAGTTTTTGTGCATGCTCGCCGATCACACGTCTAATGTGTGCAAATTGCTTTTGAACGCGTTTATTAAATGTGTGTTCGCTTGAGTTCACTGGCACTTGGCTTTTATGCAATTTGATTGAACATGTCAAAACGTTGTGCGGAGAGAAAAAAAAAGCTACATAAAAAACATGAAGAAAAAAAGCACTCACTATATAGGTGTGGGCACCGATGCCAATTCTATATGGTAACCACAAGAGTCATTTGCATAGCCCATTACAAACTAGGTTGACTCTTGCAGATAAATTGTTATATACGGAGCATGAACTTAACGTTGTGTTGTTAAAGCTAACTCGTTTTCGAGGCTGGCGAGAGTGCATTGACTTCAAAATATTCGTTGTTGCATAAGTGGCCATAAAGTGCGCTTGCAATTTTCTTTTTTTCGATTGTACGAGTACGTACACATGTGTGCCCAGATTGTATGTGTGTGTTTGAATTTGTAAAGCTTTTTGGTGCTGGCGGCACTTACGCATTTTATGACAATGAACAGCTACCTCGTATATATAGACACACAAATACAATGTATTATTATCTGATGATGGCACGTCAGATAAACAAAAATTCAATTAAACTGATATTTATGTGGTGATGATTTCATAAACGAATGCACATCAAATCAATTTGTGATTGTTATTTTCAGATATATACAATATGGCGCGGAACAAATGTTTCGCTTTTTTTTAAATAAATATTTCATTTGGAAATGTCACAACATTGTTTAAATATGCTGTGAACTGAGCCGAGTTTTCCAGTTGTTTTTATTCAAATGTCAGCACGATCAGCTTTTTTTGTGTTCATTCGTTTTAGCCAATTTTCGTGACTTTTGACAAGTTGTGAGAAAATTGGTTTGTTTTTCGTTCGGCAAACTTTCATATAGATATATTGCGAGTGAATATGAGTTTTAATTTTAGAACGAATTTTTCATGCGAATTTCTTATGTATTTTTTTTCTATTTTTTTGTTTTCATTTTTACAGAGGACGCAAGCGTTTCGTATCTGAAGGCGATGGCGGTCATATCAAACCCGAAACGTTGAACTATCGTGATTGAATTCATTTGAACTCGTAACCAATATACCTCAAATCACTGCAAAACTAAATGATGAAGATGCAAACAGCAACCAACACATACACAATATTTAACAAAATTATACACAATTTGAAACGAACGAGTCGCAGAGATAAATTGCAATTGATTAGATTATTTTCAAAAGGAAACAGAGAGTAATGAAACGAAACAACAACAACTTCATCAAAAAAATAATAATATTGAACAATTTAATTTGATTTTTTCCGCTTGGATTTTCCTCATTTTCGATGAACAATCTTTGTGAACATACACACAAACAACATTTTAGAAAGAGAAAAATGTACAACAATTCAATGGTCATTCAAAAGCTAGAACTTTTGATCATCTTCTGAACAAATATTGGCAAATATTGAAAGAGAAAAACAAAACGTTTACAATGATAGTAAAACAAAACGTTCATGTCATTGAAAATTTAATCGAAGAATTTTTATCTTCTCTTTTTCTATATTAGATTACGTTTTTCTTTGAAAGATGAAAACAAAATGAAAACTTTATATAATCAAGTTATTGATTGATAAAAATCTATATAAGATGACAAAAATATGAATAAAAATGATGAATAAAGAGAACATTCAAAAAAAAAAAAAAATCACACACGCAATTCGTTGAATATAAATATGCAACAGATATTGGCTATAAATTTCGAATACAAAAGGTTGCATGGCCTGAAGGCATTTTCGAAAGTAATTCAAACATGCTATAGTGCGAATTTTATTTCAAATTTAGCTGCACTTCGTTTTAGTATTATTTGAATAAAACAAGAATTATTATGAACAGTTCGTGCGCAATTTTTATGTGACACGAATCCGAGATCGCATGCGATATGGAAACATTTCAAATTAAACTCAATTTGAAATTTCAAGCTATTTTTTTAGGACAAAAATTCATTTGGTTTTTTAGACCATGCATATTTAGCAAAAGAAAAATGCATTAAGATGCAAAACAAACATAATCCACATTTTCAATGCGCTTCATATTGAATTGGTTCTGTTTAGTTGTATATCTAATTTTGAATCGATTATCATTTCTTTTTCATGTAATTCGCTCAAGTTATTAAAAAAAACTTGCACATTCTAGTTATATCCTTGTTAAATCTATCTGCTATCTTCCCGCCCAGTTTTTCTCATTTAATTTTTGTTTCCGATAAACTTTCATTTCATACTTACAATCATTTACGATATTTTGGAGAAAAGATTTAATGGTATTCATAAAAGAACAGTTTTATCATGTTAAATAAAATGATACAAGTAAATAAAAAAGTAACATAATGAGCAATTGTCACGGTCTTTTATTTCTGAGCATTTTAGATTTACAGCGATGAATATTACTATTTATGATAACACTTTTTTGGGTTTTCAACAAGGGGAAGGCACAAGTGTGAACAATTGGAATATTTCGATATTTTTCAATTCCAAAAATTTCATATTTAATTCACTTAATTCTTGAGTTTCAAAGATCTATTCCCGATGGTCTGTGTAAGTCCGAAATTTTGAAAAATCATGATGTAGGGCACCTACAGTAGGGGTAATTATTGTTGTAGTTTCTTATTGCTGAGGGGAAAAAGGGATAAAGTAAGTATATATGTGTCATAGAGAGTGTAAATAACTCTCTCTCTCTTCCTCTCTCTTATAGAATGTATCATAAATTTGGCCTGAAGATTGGATTCTTGAAGTCTAATGACAGAAAAATGAAAATTCATTCTCTGCTACATATTTCTTTTAAAATGTGCAATATTATCACAAAAAGTTGCAATTTTACTATACGCTAGTGAATGAGACACTTCGTCCATTTTAAGTGTTCCGTATTAGGTGGGTGTAATTTCAATTTTTTGAAAACGGGATAAATTAAGAAACTGCTTGTGCCAGGGGGAGAGTGCAGGCCATGCTCAAGGATCACTTGAAAAATTGAGCTATAAACATCGAATTTTTCGAAAACTTTGAAATATTTTTTTAAATTTACAAATTAAATCCAATATTGTATTTACATCATTCCGTTTTTAATTAAACAAGTTTTTAAACGGCAACTGAGAGTATTTTTTCAATTTATTTTCCAAAAGTGTAAATTTTTTACAAGATTTACAACGTGTTTTTTGACAATGGAGACTGTGATTTTGAAGGGGATTAAAAATCTTAAGAAGTTGGTATTTTCATTCCAAAATTTTTTACAAAGCAATTTAATTGGAAAATCGCCGAAAAAAACTGATGATAAATTATTTTGAATTAAAGTCCAAAATGTAAGTATACAAGCTTACTTTTTATATTCAAGCGTATTTCCAATAAAATGGCTTTTTATGGTTATTAAAAATGTGAGTGCAAAAAATGTGAAATGGGGAATAAAAAAAATTTGCAACGCAAAAAAAAATTCATGAAATTTCAATTTATTTTTATTTTCAATAAAGAGAATATTTGCTTGTTTTTTTTTTGTCAATTGTTTTAAATCTAAACCTGAAAACGTGTCTACTCTAAAATTCTACAGTAAGCCTAAAGGTAAAACTTGCAATGGAATATGTTAAAAGTTCATTTCAACCCAACTAAATGTTATGATAGTTTCGATCTACTAATGCAATCGTTTAAAATTTTCAATATCCATTTGATTTCGTTTTTTGTGTAGATGTATTTTTCTGTTTGCCATAAAATAAGCTTTCAAATCGATTCTAAAGTTCAAGTCATAGATCACATATTGAAGCCGAAACACGTCTGTTTAACATTTGGTTTTTTTTTTGTTCAGATGTTCGGTCTCTGCACCATATTTGTTGCCAACAGTAAATTCGGACTCTTTTGCAAATAAAAAAGCAACGCTTTGATTATCGGCTTGTTCGAATTGAGCGTTTGTGTTTTTTTTTTTGCGTTGAACCTTTTTCGTTTAAAACTGGCGATAGATTGGATATGTGAAAGCTGCTCGGAGGTAGCGTTATTCATTTTTCTTCATTGGAATCGCTATTTTATTGGCTTCAAGAAATTATTGTTCATGAGATTCCAGTATTAAGCGTATCGATATTAATTAGCATTTAACGATTCTATGTGTCGACAATTGATTTTTTTTCGTGTTCTCTTCATTTTGTGTTGCTACTATTTTAACATTTGAACAAGTGTTAAGTAATTTTATTTAATAAGGAATACTGTTTTGCTAAAGGCTAACATTTTGAATTGTAACACGGCGTGAATGAATTGAAAATGTTTGCTGTTTTCTTTATATGTGTCATAAATTAAAGCATTTCGGTTTTGATGATGAAGACCTTTTCCATAATTGTCATTTCAAAGCACCTGCGATTTCGATATTAGTTCAAGAATAAACGAAGAATGATTGATATCAATTGAGTGAATGATAGTTCAGGAATATTTGATCAATCAAAACAATTGTGTATGTGTTAAAAGCAGACTTATTTTCCCAAAAGAAAATGATAAATTTGTTTTCTCTTGATTCTCTTAATTGTTAAAAAAATTATTAATTATTAATAGCTATTGTTAAAAATATCGAAGAAAAAGAATATACGTATATCTGTAAATGATACAAATCCTATAAGTTTTTATTACATTTTTGTACATTCGAACCGAAAAAAGGTGTGATGTTGATCGAAATAAAATGTGTTCGAAATAGTAAGATGCGCGCATCTTACAACTGAAAATTATTTTTATGAAAATGATTGTGAATGATGATACATTTTACAGTTGAATTCATATTAAGAGTAGAAAATGAACAAATAAAGAAAATGTTTGGTGGTTACTTTGAACTCTTTTTTGCTACGTATACATTTTGTGAAGCAACACCATGCTTTGTATGTGTCTTTGTTATGTATATCTGATTGTGTTGTATTTCTGTTTTCTTATGCAAATATAAAGGGTTAAAATCTGAATATAAGTGTATTGATTGAAATTATCAATAATCTCTCAATCGTTTGAATGTGTTTTTGCTTTTTTTTAGTCAAACATCTTGTCACATTCGACTGATCTCAAATGTTGTTCATTACGTATTTCGATGCTGATGAGTCTGTTCTTTTAAACAGAAGAAGAAGAAAAAAAATTTGTTCGTTCGTTTTGACAAAAGCAATCGTAATAAAATTATTGATTTTGATTGTGGATTTTATATACTTTTCAGAATGGAATTAGAAAGGCCGTTGGAATGAGTAATAAAACTGTCACAAATGTACGCTAATCACAAAGTCATGTGTTGTGTATATGTGTGTGTGTGTCTATGTGTCCATGTTTGTTCGTTTCGATCATCTTAAAACAGATTTTTTGTTTGCTCGCTGTGATGCCATTAAATATTAAGTCAACAAAGTAGCTGCTTTGTGAAGCAGTTTTTACTCAACCACGACCAATTTACAAATGTCTATTCTTTAAAAGTAACAAAACCGGCATTTGTTTTTCGTTTGTTGCCAATTCGATGGATTTGCGGTGTTTTGTCAACAATTTTATTGTTGCCTTTGTCGAATCGTTCACAATGCTTGCGTGTATCTAATTGTTTTTTACCAATCGTCGATTGAATCATTACATTTTTGGTTGAGTTTTGTGCTCGTGGAGCATACATAAATTCTTTATCAACGCCAATAAAATCAGTGTCGATACCATCGTCAACAACATCTAAATCGTGTCATTTGGGCAAACCAAAATTATCCTGTTCGATTGGTTTTTTCAACCAACTGCCCAGATCTTCGCGTCGAAATGCATCGAACAATTCACGTTTGGCGATTTGATAATCGCGTGCCGTTTGTTTTGTTTCACGATAATCACCAGCAATCGAACGCGGACCACGTAAATTCGGCAATTGTTTTATCAAATTTGCAAATCGTGTAAAAAACACTTGCTTCGTAAGTCGTGACACTTTATTGTTTACGGTTTTTCCGGTCAATGAATTTACCTAACGGGAGAATCACAAAAGAAAAGAACGAATAATCAAAAAAATAAAAATAAATAATCAACAAATAATCGAAAAATAATCAATAAGAATTATTAAATAATAGAAAAGCAATTTTTAAGTGAATTGCCCCATGAATTTACCACTTCAACCGTTCGTTGGCTAAATGTCCAGTTGATGCCGAAGTTTGGAGCTTTTATTTGATTTCGCGTTTCAGTCGATGTAACCAGAGCAAATTTCGGCTTGTTCAAAAAATATGGCGGCGGAAGACCTTGAATTGATGTTTCAATACGACCGCATACGGCACTAAATATTACGGAAAACATTTACCATTTTGTTATTTTTCAATAGATACACATATTATCTGTACATAAACAGTAAGAGATAAGATAAATATGAACTAGTTTACCGATACATATGATCCGGATGCAATAAACTACCCAACACAACCGAATACAAATAAATTGGCTGAACGATTGATGAGAGCAATGCACCTTGCACACCAACCACATTCCATCTTGCTATTTTATCAGAGCATGACATCGTTAACAGTCGTTGACCTTGCATTACACCATCCCATGTTTGTATACCTGAAGTTAAAGAAAAACAACACATGTTTTAATAAAAATTTATTTCGATTACGGTAACGTGTCCATTAATATGTACCGTCGCTGCTTTTAACCGGTATAGTCCCTTCGCCCGATTCAATTTTTGTGCGAAGTTGACCACGTGCTTTTCTGAAAGATTCAAAACGTAACAGATGAGCTTCAACGTACATGAAATGTGACAAATGTATGGATACATACCTATTTGGATGCTTGTCGACGCCGATTTCAGTTTCATGCGGTGAAAATATGCGAGCATCTCCACAGGGTGCAGTGTTAATAAACAGATGAAACTTAATTCCATCACGTAATTTGTACAATTGATCAGGCTGTGATGGTCTCACAAAAATTGAATCCTTTGCGGTACCTGCAAAATGAGAGAATGTGATTTTTTTTCTATTTGAGACAAAATCGAACGTTGAATACTTACTTGCATTTGTATGCAATTCTAATTGACTGTAGCAAAAATCCATCAGACACCGTCTGGCTACAATTTCAGCATGCGAATCATTCAAACTAGTTCCACTGATGCTCATGTATTCACCATTGATACACTTGGTACCTGTAGTGACTGCTATCACTTTTGCTGTTTTTAAATCGAGATTCTCGGTCATCACAATTCCAGCCAACACTTTTCGTCGGCTATAATTCTCAATATTGACGGTCGCCTCGGCAAACTGCTCCAACACCAATCTGAAGAATAAACCGAATGGAAAATCGATATATGTTCTGTTTGTTTTGGAATTTTTCTTTAAAAAAAGTTCTATGTACAAAATCAAAGTTCCTTTGAAAATGAAGAAAATGTGTAAGCAATACTCACTTTCCAATGCCATCTGCGAACGTTTGAGGCAATTCATATGATTGCTTCTTATTGCTTTCGACTGGTGCAGTTTCCGTAGACTTCATTTGCATGGGACTGTACGAAATATCACATAACGTTGCTAAGGCTGCTTTGGCAGCTGCATTCTTTGCCAGCTTTTTCGACGGACCTACAATTCAAAACCAAACTTCAACAACACTATTCGAAATGGAATTTAAATTCGGCAAAACGAACCGGTTCCTTCAAATTTCTGATTATTTACAGTGGCCACCATCTTAAAACGTGAATGTTGAACACCGTCCGATGAAACACAATCGATTTGCACATCGTTGAATAGTTCGTAAAGTAGCATGACTGGGCCTTTTTCAGGCGTTTGTTTTTTATTGGCCGCTGCTTTGTTTGTATCTACAAAACAACAAAAAAAGAAATATATGAATAATTTAAAATAAAAATGATACGCCAATGTAAATGAGAGGTGTAATTTGTGTGAATAATAAAATCGAAATGTGTTTCACCATTATTATCCATGTGATCATCACTGGTAAAGTCCATAGTGTTGGCAGATTTGACAGGTGATAAAGCTGTACCATCTTTGAATTGAATGAAGCTCCTTAGCGCTGCTTCGGCTGCTTGTATTCGTGCCAATTTTTTACTTCTTCCTTGACCGACGTACTTTTCGCCGTCAACCTGTTTTTTTTTTGTTTGTTATTTCCGCATTATATACAATAAAATGGGCCCATAAAAACGTAGAAAGAAAAACCATAAAATTTCACTTTTAATAATCGTTTGATCGTGCACTGGTAATAAACTACTAAATACGAGGGTTGCTCCATAATTTTTTTTAAAAACATATATAACACAGTTGTTTTTTGTCGAAAATGGTTTTATTGTTTTTCAAAATATTCCCCGAGATGATCGATACACTTTTGCATTCGATGAAACCATTTGTCATAGCATTCGTGCCACTCCGAAACTGATATCTCCAAAACGTGTGTTTTGAACGCTTCAACTGCTTCTTCTGGTGTCGAAAATCGTTGACCACGTAGTTTTTTCTTCACGCTTGGGAACAAAAAAAAGTCATTGGGTGCCAGGTCAGGACTGTACGGTGGATGACCCATCAGTTCGATGTTTTGACCGGTCAAAAATCGAGTAGTTTGAAAAGATGTGTGAGAGCTCGCATTATCGTGATGAAGAATTATTTTGCGACGGTGGTTGTTTTTTCTTATTTCACCAAACACTTCGGGCAAACAAATGGTGGTATACCAATCAGAATTGACGGTCTTACGATCCTCTAGTGGAACGGTTGCCACATGACCACTTCTCCCGAAAAAACAGGCGACCATTCGCTTCGAAGTGCTTCTTGCTCGAACAACTTTCGTTGGATTATCTTCATTTTGGAAGACCCATACAGTCGACTGCTGTTTCGTTTCGGGCTCATAGGCATATATCCACGATTCGTCACCAGTGACGATTTTATTAACGTCTTTTGAAGCACCACGATTGAATTTCTTGAGCATTTCTTTACACCAACTCACACGAGCCATTTTTTGTTCATCGGTCAATTTATGTGGGATCCAACGAGAGCAAATCTTTTTTACGGCTAAATGTTCATGCAAAATTGTATGTATGCTGTGGGATGAAATGCCCAAAGATGCCTCAATCTCACGGTAGGTCACATGACGATCTTCCATAATCAGTTTTCTGACAGCATCGATGTTTTGTGGCACAACAGCCGATTTTGGACGACCTGTATGAAACTCGTCTTTGAGCGAACTACGACCGCAACGGAATTCTCGGTACCAGTTATAAATTGTCTGAAGGGTTGGTGCTTCATTGCCAAAGGCCAAATGAAGTCGATCGAAACACTGTTGTTGAGATAATTTACTTCGAAAATCGTAGTAAATCATTTTACGAAAATCTTCACGTGTAAAATTCATTTTTTTGTTGAGTCGCAGTTTACCAGTCACTGTAAACAATACAAATAGCGTTCGTACGACAAAAGGTTCAGGGCACGAATACATACCAAAACATCAAACTTTACGAATATGACAATGGTTTACATCGGGCAACACTATAAGTACCATTTTAAAAAAAATTATGGAGCAACCTACGTAATCCATGAATTACCTCAACAGTCATTGTAAAGATGGGTGCATGAACTGGGCCAGTTTGTGCTTCTAAATTATAAACAAGACCTTGTCGTAATTCGTTGAGCATAGCCACCGTGTTTTTTGGCTGTTGCGCACATGTTACGCCATTGTTTGCTTTCAATTTTTTCTTTGGTATGCCAGCTTAAAAAATAAATGTGAACCAATTATCACCTTTTGACACCACATGCACTTTTGTGAACAAAGCACAACGAACGAACAAAAAAAAACGATTTTTTTTAAATTATTCTATTTCATTAACACATACCGACCACTGGATCAACGTTACGTCGTTTTAAGCCCATATTAGCTTTATTGTTTCGATTTGATTTTCTAAGTGTGCACAGACTTTGCATAGAACCACCACATTTCTTTTGCGAAACACCGTTCGGAGATTTATTTTGTTGATTCACTTCGTCATTGCCATTGCTGGTCATATCGTTCTAAAATTGAAAAAAAAAACCACGAAGAAAAAATATTGAAAATTATAACACTGTCAACAAAGACAAAGCGTATTAGATAAGTTGGCGACAGATAAAAAACAACGACAGCCACAACGGAAATATGCTTTCAGTGGAAATAACACGAAAAGCATACAGCACAAGTGAAAGGACGTGTTACAACTGATTTAAGAAGCCGAAGCTTAAGAAGTCAATGAATATTACGGAACAAATCACGGAAAATAGTAATGAGGAGAATGGTTTTTATGTTCCGGATCCGTGGCTTGACAATATATATTATGTTCACTGCAGATATCAATGCAGATGTAAAGTGTATGAAACGAATGAACGGGAAAAAAGTGTACACACAGTATCCAAGCACCAAACGTCTCGACCGTCATCGACGACGAGAATGCACACACATATGTTCGTGAAAAGGGCTCGAAACCACTATAGATTCCACTGGTAATTGTGAATTGCACGTATTCCATATAGAGATATACACTCTATATATCTCCCGACCAATTTGGTTCGATAGTTCTTTTTTTTTTGTCTATTAAGTTACACAATACATAATATATATAGATACGGTGTGCAAACAACGATGATCAAATATACAATATAAAAAGCACCCTCGAAATACACAGACACACACAAACACACACACCGTATAAAAATAAATGTCGAAAAATCATACGTAACAAACAGGAATAATGAGAAATGAAAACTGAATGTTTAACGGATCAAAAGCAATGAAAGTCGAAAGCAAAATTCCTCGCGCAAAGTGTACACACTGGACGCCTTGCACAAAAACGTTTCATATTTAAACGGTGGATGGTAGCTGAATAAAACAGGATAATGTTAAATGGTTTTTGTTGATTGTTTCTATAATATATGTTGTTGTTGTTGTTGTTTTTTTACGCTTTTGTTGTATGCGTGTGTTGGCAGAGCGTGCACGGAAAAAGTATTTTCAATGATTTACGAAGAATAAAAATAAAAAATTAAATTGAGAGGAAGGAATAGCGCGCGGAGAGAAATGGAAAATAACTAGGTATTGTGAGATAAGTTTCATTATTGTAACACTGTGATGCATGTATGGTATGGTGTTAATATATCCGTACATATATCCGTATACATCTATATACAATGCGAACACACCGCGATAAGGAAGTAGATAAATTTTGCATAACCAAAAATAGTACCGACTGAAAAATCAATAAAAATCCTTTTCCCTTTTACCCCTCGCTACACTCACGGAACGTGTTCATCACTTGATGAAAAGAAAAATACCTCGTTCACACACCGATCATCGTAAATAACACATCAAACACATGAATCAAGATTTGCAATTTAAAATCCGAATTTCCATCCGTGTGCCGTGGAAAAAATGTAAAGGAGAATAGAGAAGAAAATCACACGCGAAATTTCCATGCAAACAAATGCACCTTCCATCCCACACAGAACATACATATATAAGAAACACAATACGAACAAAGCACACATTCACTTTCTTATTTGAGAATTTTTGATTAAATTTTTTTTTGTCATTCGGTGATTTTATTCCTTACCAACAATTCCAAATCAAATCCCTAATCAACTGCATAAATTATCCACGTTACTATTGAAATGTAATGTATGCATACGCCTTTCGAAAATTGCGATTATGTTTCCATTTATTTGATTGTTGGAGAATAATTTTTTTTTTCAATTTGTTTGCTTGATATTCATGAACAAAACATTAAAATACACAAATACAAAAAAAATATGACTTTTTTACACGAATGAGTATATACTGGCATTCATTCAAATGTCAAAACAACATGCTATAGTGAATTGTCAAGCAAACTCATTGTGCTTGTAGTGTTGCCATCGCACACAACAAACACAAATCCAATATCCCACAATGGGAATATAATTTGCAATTTAAACTAACCTATTTTTGTGAATTTTTTTTACCACAAAATAAAATTACAATTTTCCGATGACTTTGTTTAGATAGACAATCAAATACGAAATTTATGATGATTTAGCCTTTGAAATAAAATTCATTCGAAATGGCACGAACTGTTATACACATCTTTGTGAATGTCTGCTATGTCACATGTGTCAATGTGTCAGTTGACTCTATATATATATAAGAAAGACACACTCCCTCGTTTGTTTCAATTGAATTACACATTTTGAAAAGAGAATTTCAGCAACAATTTGGTAACAGGAGAAAATTCATTTTTTTTTGGAACGGAAAGAGACAAAAACAAAATGACAAAGCCAAAAGAAGTAGTACCAGTACCACTTGATGTGGTTGCTAATTTGATCCACGACATCAAAGTTGGGTATGTTGATAGTGATTTCATATTTAAAAATCAAACTTACATCAGATCATATATTTTTAGTAATATCGAAGGGTCATACGTTATAACAACGCATGCTGTGCAACTATTTAAGGAAATTATTTCGAAAACACAATGGAAAACCGCAGAGTAAGTAAAAATAATGGAATTTTTTTTTAATCTCCAAAAATTCATTGGATTCTAATTGTGTTGGTTCTATTCTAGCGAATTGATGAAATTGATCCGAGCACAAGGTAGAATTTTTGTATCAGCATTGCCTCAAGAATCGGTGTTTGCGAATATGGCAAGACGCGTATTAAAATTGATACGCGAAGAATTCGATGCACTTCAAGCGTCGCAAGTTCCTCTTTCCGACGAACAAGCCACCCTTTCGCTTCATAAATTGGTGACACAAACAAGCGAAAGTGAACGGCGTCGTGATTATTCAAAACCACAAGATGGTCTACGGGCCGCCCTATTGGATCATTTACAAGAAATTGAAACGGAACTCGAAACAAGCTCGGAAAATCTATCGGAACAAGCGGCCGAACATATTCATTCGTCGGAATTAATATTGACACTGGGCCATTCACGATCGGTGGAAAATTTCTTAAAAACAGCGGCCAAACAACGAAAATTTGAAGTTGTCGTTGCCGAATGTGCGCCAGCATGTAGAGGACATGTATTGGCTGCCTCGTTGGCCAAATCGAAAATCGAAACAACTGTCATTTCGGATGCGGCTATTTTTGCCATGATGTCACGCGTTAACAAAGTTATTATTGGTACACATAGCGTATTGGCGAATGGCGGTTTACGAGCCGCTTGTGGTGCTTTAACTGTTGCATTGGCCGCAAAACATTATTCGGTTCCAGTTATTGTACTCTGTCCAATGTACAAATTGTCACCGGTACATTTGTGCAGCTACGAACAGGATGCATTCAATTTGGTTGGCTGTACTGAAGGGATTTTATCGTACAATTCAAGCGCAGCACCCTTTGCAAAAGCATTTAGCCCAATATTTGACTATGTACCACCTGAACTTGTCACCTTATTCATTTCGAATCAGTGAGCGCTTTTTAATTACATCATTATTTGAAGAGTTTAAGATTGATTTTAATCAAATTGCTCTTTTGTATTTCTTTTTTTTTCAGAGGAGGGAATGCACCATCTTACATGTATCGACTGCTTAGTGAACTCTATCATCCGGATGATTATGACTTGTAGTTTTAATTTTGAATTATTATGGCCAATAAATTTTCAGAATAAAAGAAGAAAATGTACAGATAATTGCAGCGTTTCATTTTGATTCAAGCATATTATATATTGAATGTTTGTAGTGTGAATTTCACACTGTGAAAACGGGTTTTTATTTAATACAACTTTTATTTACAAATATACAAACAAGACAACACATCACACATTACCAACACTTTCATTTATACCGAACTCATTTCTTAGTAATCGTGATTATCATGTCATCAACCAATGATAACTGATCATATATTTCTATATATATATCGCAGTTCATTTTATGTACAATCTTAATGATAAAAATGATTTGCAAACCGTAGACTTATCGCATTCACTTCAAAGTTGTGAATAACAGAAGTCCAAAGATTAAATTAATCAAAAAAATGTCAAAGTGGGAAAGTAACGAAGAGATTCAATTATTTCGAGAATATTTGCGTATTCCTAGTGTTCAACCAAATGTGGATTATGGTGATATTATTTCAATTTCAAAAAAATCTGCAAGTAAATTAATTTTTAAAAAACTTCATTCCCTAGAACCGTGTGTGTCATTTCTAAAGAAACAAGCAGCAGCTTTGAATCTACCCATATCAGTGTGTTTTCCCGGCAACGAAAAGTGTCCGGTCATTATTATGTCATGGAAGGGATTAAATTCAGATCTTCCATCAATAATGTTAAATTCCCATATGGATGTAGTGCCCGTTGATGAAAATCGCTGGACACATCCACCATTTGCAGCCGATATCGATGAAAATGGAAGAATTTTCGGTCGTGGCACACAAGATATGAAATCCATTGGAATGTTGTACTTAGCTGCCATTCGGGCATTGAAAAGAGATGGAAAACAACTAAAACGAACAATTCACGTAACATTCGTGCCAGACGAAGAGATCGGAAGTGAATTTGGAATGAAGGCTTTTGTAAAATCGAATGAATTTAAAGCGCTTAATGTTGGCTTTGTTCTGGATGAGTCGTGTGCTTATCCATTGAATAAAGTTCTTGTTTTTTATGCGGAACGTCGACAATTGGGTAAGGTTGAAAGGCCGGACGATAATAAATGGAAATATAAAATTGTTTACATTTTCTAGCAATTGAATTGATTTGTGAAGGTCAAGCTGGCCACGGTGCATTTATACAAGAGAATACGCCGGGTGAAAAAGTTCAATACATGATCAATAAATTGATGGGATTGCGGAAAAGTGAAGCGGATAGATTGAAACAAAATCCCGAATTGAAACCGGGCGATGTGACAGCAATAAATTTAACCATTTTAAAGGGTGGACAGCAAATAAATGTGGTGCCCAATGAAATGAGCATTTCGTTTGATATTCGTTTGGCCATCGATGTAAATCACAATGATTTTGAAGAACAGGTCTGGACTGGCTGAACCCCATTTTCCACTGAATCGAATCAACTGTTTTTTTTTTTTTTCAATTTAGTTGCAGCAATGGTGTGACGAAGCTGGAGGGGGCATAACAATAAAAATATTGTTGAATGATCCAGAAGCATCGATCACAAAAATTGATCACACCAATCCCTATTGGGTGGCATTCGAAAGTGCTATGAAGGATTTGTATGTTTTTCTTTGAAGCAAAATTACGATTTATCACGCAAAAAAATGTGAAAAATGATGAAAATTGTAATTTGTAGAAATTTGGATTTTGAAACGATCGTTTGTCCGGGATGTACTGACGCTAGGTATCTCAGGCAGGTATGAAAAAACGGAATCGTCTGAATTGAGTTACACGCAATTCAATCGTTAAATGTTAATGAAAATATTTACAGTTGAATTTGCCGGCTCTTGGGTTCACACCATTGCCAAATACACCAATCAAACTACATGATAATGACGAGTTCGTCGATGCCGATGTTTATTTGAATGGCATCAACGTTTACATGAAGGTTATTTCAAATCTTGGTAATGTATAAATAGCGACGCATAGAATAATAAAACCTATACTGACGAGTTAGATTGTCAAGACACTGGTGGTGGTTGTTTGAAAGTAATTCATTTTGATGAACATTGATGGTTTTACGCATTCTTTTTGTACGTATTTTCGATTCTATATATTTTAACATGCAAATTTCGGCCAACTAGATGATGTTGTTCAAACTACAAACACCAATGTCGTGGCGATCTAGAGTGGACATTTTGTCAACAAAAAATGCGTGTTATTGTTGTTGTCGTTTCATTACTCTGGCGACGCATAAACAATTTCACAATTTTACATCGTTTTACACCATTCACATTTTACTTACATCGAATGAAATGTAAATCAACGGCGGCTTCTGTCGGGGTGGTGATGGTGGTTCCTTTTCCAAAATCATAGTTTGATGCAATCTTGCATAATGCCCTCGCGGATGACGCCGCTTGAAATTGAAGAACATTTAAAAAAATAAAAATGTGATTTGTTTCGATTGCAAAGAAAATATGATCGTGGCAGGCGCTTTTTTGGCCATATAATTACGTGAGATTGTGAAATTATTTTAAAATATTGAAATTAACAAATAAAATGTGAATAAACATGTTTGTCATCAATATTTCTTTGAAGTTTCTTTCTTACTTTCATTGTGTTGTGTCCTATTTTACAGCAGTTTAATTCAATTCATTATTCCTTTTATTATCTAATCAACGTATTTTCTTTTTAAATAATACAAATTAATTTACACTTTCATGCACATGTCACAATAATTGTACCAGTTGTAGATTTAGATTTTATGTCAAAGATAAACGGCGTTCTTATTGATATTACTGTAATATCAAATTTGTTTATATTGTTACAAAGATTATTGGTTCACGAAATGTGTTTCGGTACAAAGTGCGGCTGTGTAAGTATCTTATCTGTGGCCAAGCACACTCAATAAACCGCAAACACACTATCACATTTATGATTAGCTGTGTTGGTTTTTATGGTTTGACAGCTGACATCGATGTTGTAGCGCTGAGAGAAATCGCTCACTATATAATTAGAAGCATACGGCAAATAGTCATTCAGTTGACTATCTTTGACAGTGGAAAGTATTTCAACGTCGTTTTCAAGTGGGTTTTATTTAACGCTTTGATTAAAAATGGCAAATTGGGAGAATAACGAAGAGATCGAAATTTTTCGTGAATATTTGAGGATTCCAAGCGTTCATCCGAACATCGACTATGGTAATATCATTTAAAAACATTAAAAGAAAACTGTTTAAATTTGAAAATAAATTCTTTCTTTGTTAGAACCGTGCGTTGAGTTTCTTAAGAAACAAGCGAAAAGTTTAGATTTGCCCGTGTCTGTGTATTATCCCGTGAATGATAAAAATCCGGTGGTCGTTTTGACATGGAAAGGCACTCAGCCCAATTTGCAGTCGATTATTCTAAACTCACACATGGATGTGGTGCCAGTTTTTGAAGAGCATTGGACACACCCACCATTTGCAGCCGATATCGATAAAGACGGAAAGATTTTTGCAAGAGGCGCACAAGATATGAAATGCGTGGGCGTTCAATACTTGGCTGCAATTCGATCATTGAAACGTGACGGTGTTCAACAACTTAAGCGCACCATTCACGTTGTCTTTGTACCGGACGAAGAGGTCGGTGGATATCTGGGAATGGCCAAATTTATTGACACCGATGAATTTAAAGCACTCAATGTTGGATTTTCATTAGACGAAGGTTTTAATATTGAACAATGTTTAGAATGAATGTGGAGTGATATTTATTTATTTTTACGTAGGCATTGCATCGCCAAACGAAGTATTTAACGTATATTACGCTGAGAGAACTATCTGGCAAATCGAATTCAAATGCCATGGACAGGTATGAAATTAAGATTTTTATTTTAGGAATACGTTTGATAGTGTTTTGAAATAGTCTGGTCATGGTTCGATGCTATTTCGAGGAACTCCAGGAGAGAAAATTCATTACATCGTTGATAAATTTATGAACTTCCGTAAAAAGGAAGCTGAAAAATTGGAGAATAATCCGGAATTGACACTAGGAGATGTAACAACAGTGAATATGACTATTCTCAAAGGTGGAGCTCAAGGTAGCTCCGTTTTCTATTTAAACACAGTTTTGATTCGAGTTTTAACATAAAACATGTTAAAATAAACTCATTGCACTTAATTCAGGAAATGTTGTTCCACCCGAGCTAAATGTGACCTTTGACATTCGCATAGCCAATGATATCAAGCTCAATGATTTTGAAAAAATGGTTAGTTGATTTTCTTTTGCATTTTTTCACTTCAATCGCTCATAGATCACTTTTTTCTAAAATTCAAATAGATTAATCAATGGTGCGAGGAAGCTGGAGGTAACATTGAATTGAATTACTCTCACAAGTTTCCACAGGCACCAATCACACCCACTGACAGCTCAAATATATATTGGACAGCATTTAAAAGTGCTGTAGAAGAACTGTGAGACCTTTATTTTCAAAATTGCATTTGCTATGCATTATCTAAATTTATTTCAATTTACAGAAATTTGAAGATAAAATGTGTAGTTTTTCCGGGCGGTACTGACAGTCGATATATTCGTATGGTGTGTATTATTAACAGAATTAAAATTGAGCAAAATTTGATAAAACTTCGTTTTTATTTCAGGAAAATATTCCAGCACTTGGTTTCAGTCCAATGAACAATGTTCCGATTTTGTTACACGACAACGATGAATACATCCCAGCAGATACATATCTGACTGGAATTCAGATTTATAAGAAAATTATACCGAATTTGGCCAATGCTTGAATTTTCCCTGCACATCGATACTGATCGCTTAAATTCTAAGAGACTCTGTTTTTTTATAATGCTAAGATTCTAGCATGTTTTGTTTGCCTTTCAAAAATAAACTAAATTCGTTTGAGTATTAAATTTAAATTTAGATGCAAGTTTTTTTATGTAATATTCGTTGTATTTTTTTCAAAGTATTAACAACAATCTTGATAAAACGATAGTGTAATCAAAACAATTCATAGATAAATTGGAAACTATACATATGTACAACTTTACGAGTGTACAATAGTCATAATGGAAGATAACGTGTATCACACAGAGTAGCTTGTATACAATGGATTCATTGAAAATTGAATGCATTTCTATCTTATTCACAAATCAAATAATTAAATCGCTGTGTAAATGAATCAACAAGCATACACCGAGGTTTTTTGAATATCAAGCGTACTTGTATGTAAGTGTACTTGTTATAATGATAACATAACATGCTATAACGATATTATGATTAATTTTAAAGTAATAAAAAAAGTTATTTTGAAAAATGTCATCGAGCACATAAAAAGACATGTTTTTTTTAGCAAAACAACGGAAAAAATACAAACAAAAATGAAATCAGTCTCAAATGTTATCTTTTCGATAAATCGTATGACGTGCAAAAATGCATTAACTCCAGACCTGCTGTAAAAGTATTAAGGCGTGGCGTGAAATTAATCTCGTGAAAAACAATAAAATTCGATACAATTTGGCAATAAACGTTGCAAATTTGCTCACAATTGTATGAAAATATTGCAAGTTAATCAGATTTTGTAATCTATATAACATTATTTTTATTTGATAATGAAATTTTTCCACGCAAACCTATTTATATCGGCTTTTGCAAAATGGTCTCAGTTTGAAATTGGCTCACACAACCGATCTTTTGCTTCCTTGCAAAATTTCTCGTCGCAATTAGGCCAAACCAATTGATTTTTTTATGGTTAAAATTATTCTTGCAATATCTATAAATTCTATAAGGCTATCAACAAAATGACAACAATAAAGTCATATGTTTGTAGTGTTCGGTTTTCAATAATTGTAGTTTTTTGGTAGGCTAATGCATTTCTAATTCATTAGTCAATTGATCTAAATATCTAATTATTTTAAGTGTTATGGTGCTGGGCACAATTGGATACTTCGCCTTCGCAAACACTCACAATGAAAGTACTGCCGATGGAGCACAAAGTGATCACAGCACACATGATGAACATAGCTCGCAGCACATCGATGGAGATCATGATGATCATGCCAATTTCAGTGCCACCATTGCTATACCACAAATAGTGCTATGGGAGCAAGATGAAGAGATTAAAATTTTACGTGATTATTTGCGAATTCCCACACCACATCCAGATATTGATTACAGTAAAGTCTATTATATATATATCCAATAATCAGAAGAGATATTTTAAATATTTTACTATTCGACAGAGCCGTGCGTGAATTTTTTGCAAGTATTGGCATCAAATTTGAATTTCTCAATGCAAATTTCTTACCCGGCCGATGAACAAAATCCCATTGTTCTTATGACATGGCCCGGATCACAACCAGAGCTACCTACAATTGTACTAAATTCACATATGGACGTGGTGCCGGTTTATGAAGAATTTTGGACGCATCCACCGTTTGCAGCCGAAATGGATAACAAAGGTAATATTTATGCGCGAGGAGCTCAAGATATGAAATCAGTTGGAATGCAATATTTGGCCGCAATTCGTGCCTTACACCGTGACGGTGTTCAACAATTGAAGCGAACTATTCATGTGCTGTTTGTGCCCGACGAAGAATTGGGTGGCAGACGGGGAATGGCTGCATTCGTAAAAACAGATCAATTTAATTCGTTAAATGTTGGCCTTCTGTTGGACGAAGGTGGGCCAGTTGAGAGTGGCCCATTGGGCGTTCTCGTTGGTGAACGAACCATTTGGCAAATTGAATTCACATTTCATGGACATTCCGGCCATGGTTCGAGATTGTTCAACAATACGGCAGGCGAAAAGCTAAACTATGTACTTAATAAATTCATGGAATTCCGGAAAGAAGAAATGAAGAAACTGAATGAATTGAGATATCCGTATGGCAATGTGACTACAATTAATCTTACCAAAGTGAAGGTATACCAAAAACGAGTTTTTTTTTTAAATTTTGATTTTCGAAATACGACATATTTTACTGCCGATGCATGGTCGTTATTCAAAATTTATGAAATATTACGCAGAAACAGTTATTTACAAACTAATCTTCCATCACAAAGGGAGGCGTTGAAAACAATGTGATACCACCCGAGATGAGTGCCACTTTTGACATTCGGATTTCGATTAATGTCGATCTTGACGAATTTGAACAAATGGTTTGTATTTCAAGGTCCTTATTGTGAGTATGAAGAAATTTTAGTTATTAAATCTCTAAAAAGCTGAGGCGATGGTGCGATGAGGCTGGCGGTAATATTACAATGAACTTTGCCGAAAGAGGGATAAAAGAAGAAGTTACTTCGATTGATAGCGTATATTGGCAGGCCTTCAAAAATGCAACCAATGAAATGTTAGTTTCAATTAAAATTCAATGGTTATGTCATTTTGTGAATTAAAAATTTATTTTCAGCGGAATTGAGGTCGAACCGACGATCCGAATTGGTGCTTCAGACAGTAGATTCATTCGTCGTGTTTGTATTTTCTTTGAGAAAAAGTGACATAATGAATTTAACTTAAACTTTTCACATTTTAGCTTGGTATTGCAGCACTTGGTTTTTCACCGATGCCAAATACAATTCCAAAATTGCATGAACACAATGAATACATAAATGCTGGCACTTATCTCAAAGGCATCGATGCTTATAAAAAAATTATTGTCAATTTAGGCAATTTGGGAAACGTTTAATTTCACACAGAAAAGAAGAACGCTATTCCGAGAAAGAAACATACGTAAAATGTAATACAAACAAAAACAGTTTAATGTCTAATAAAGAAAGTCGTTTTTTGTTACAATTTTGTATTTGAATGTCGTTTGAATAAATAAAATTTACGATCATATTTATTAGTTTATTCAATAATACAAGACAGCTGTAAATCAATAGACTAGATATAGTCAATTGTTGCAATTGTAATTAGGCCAATGTGATTGAGAGTAGTAACAACGAATTAATGAATTTATTACAGCTTTTAAACTGTGATTTACGTATTGTATGTTTTGTTGACATTAACTCTGTCTGAAAACCCAACACAACTTCGATTTTTTTTTTCATTCATTCGCAATCTAACTTTGCACTAAGTCATCGCATACATTTTCTATTTTATATTACTCAACTATTGATAAGAAATATGTATATTGTATACCTTATGACATTTGTAAAAAGTATGTTGATTTCCAATTTTGATGAATATGTTCATTTAGTGCTGCCACCGGCAATTGTATGAACATCACGAATTAGTTGAGTGTTCCAGCAATTACAAGCAATTGCATTGAACGAAATTCTGTGTCTCTTCTAACCCAAAACTCATTACATGAACACTATTTCGCGCTCAAAAGTTGCATCTGTCAAACAAGTATATCTATTGATGTAAAAAAGGTCGACGTACTTTGTGTCGATTTTATTATATGTTTGTCAATAAAATAAATATTTATTTCAAAGTACATTTTTCGTGTGATTTATGATTTGTTGGGTTTGTCAAATTAAAAAATCGAAATAATGTATCTACGATATTTGTTCACAATTCTGATTATATTGTAAGCAAATAAGAGAAACATTGTTATCAACTTTATCAAAACCAATTAAAATTCGTTTATTTTTCGTTTAGTGCTGTCTGTCAATATATTACATTTGCTAACGAAGAAAGAGGTTTTCATGATGTTACTAAACAAACGGATAAACTTCGAACTGTAGTATCAAACTCAACCACATGGGAAAGTAACGAAGAAATTCAATTATTCCGTGAATATTTACGAATTCCAAGCGTGCATCCGAACGTCGATTACAGTAATTATATTCGCTTTAACCAGATTTAAATCGTCTTTTTATCTGTATTTTATATTTATATTCGTAGAACCATGTATTGCTTTCTTAGAGAAACAGGCGGCAAGTCTCAATCTGCCAGTTTCGATTTCATATCCAGCCAGGAGCGACAAACCTGTGGTTGTAATGACATGGGAAGGTTCTCAGCCTGAATTGCCTTCGATCATGTTAAATTCACACATGGATGTCGTTCCGGCATTCGAAAAATTTTGGACCCATCCACCGTTTGCAGCCGAAATCGATGGAAATGGTGACATCTTTGCACGTGGGGCTCAAGACATGAAATCAAATGCAATGCAATATTTGGCAGCGGTTCGAGCACTCAAACGAGATGGAATTGATCGACTCAAACGAACAGTACACATCACTTTTGTACCTGATGAAGAAGTTGGACATGATGGAATGGCTAGTTTTGTTAAGACAAATGAATTTATCGCACTGAATGTCGCGTTTACTCTTGATGAAGGCGGTTTAATTTTGAACTATGAAGGTGTTTTGTATGTGTTCAAGGGTGAACGAACAATGTGGCAAGTCGAATTTATATTCCATGGCACATCCGAACATGGTGCTCGACTATTTCCAAGCACACCTGGTGAAAAGATGAGCTATGTTGTTGGTAAACTCATGGCACTCCGTGCAGAAGAACTGAAAAAATTCACTGAGATGAATCACCTATATGAAAATGTGACGACGATCAATTTAACCATTTTGAAGGGTGGCATTTTGAGAAATATTGTCCCGGCTGAGATGAGCGCTACGTTTGATATTCGCATTGCCGTCAGTACTAGTGTTCATGACTTTGAAGAAATGGTTAGTATTGATGCAGAGAGGGGTAGAGAGAATGAAAAAGAGTAAAAATATAATTTGTACATTTATATAGGTAAACAAATGGTGTGCAGAAGCTGGTGGAAATATCTCAATAAACTTTTTAGATAAAGGTGAAAATGAACAAGTCACACGCACAGACAGTTCAAACCCATTTTGGATGGCCTTTAAAACAGCCACTGAAGAATCGTAAGTAATACGTCGTGTATTGCAAGAGAATCATTCAAAATACCAAAAATGTCATACTTTTAGCGGTATCAAAGTGAAGCCAGTTATTTTAGGAGGCGCTTCAGATAACAGATATCTTCGACGGGTTTGTGTAAATCAATATTTTGTAATAAATGTTGAATATGAGAATTATTCCATTAACAAGAAATTTATATTTCAGCTAAAAATATCAGCCATCGGATTCTCCCCTCTGATTAATACAATACCAAAGCTACACGATCACAACGAATACATCAATGTTGAGACATTTTTGAAAGGCATCCAAATTTACAAAAAGATCATTTATAATTTAGGCAATGTTTGAACTTGCCACCATTACTTTGTGTGAACGTACAATAATTGGATTCAATTCTAAAGTGAAATCCAACAATATTCAGTTCAATGATGTCAAAGAAACAATCAAAACTCAAGTAACATTGAGAAACCAAAGAAGCGATATGAAAAGATTTGTATTATTCCAACATTGTTTCTTTTTTATAATATATTATTGAAAATCACTTGAAATTGAAAAATGATCAACTTATCGTATGAAAAAGGAGTAGGGTAGAAATATAAATTTTATAATATGAACAAATACGTGGCTATTATTGTTGTATTAAAATGGGTTGCGGTGAATCACATTCCAATTTAAATTTTTTTTTTTAATAATTAAAACTTTTGAAAAATTACTTGAACAAATAAATGCTTGAAGATAAGAGGCAGTAGATTGCATGACATCAACACTGACTTGATGGGCGATGTACAGAGAACATTACAGAGAAAAATAGAAAGAGTGAGGAAGAGGAGAATTGAAAACGAAAGTGAACACAGCATCGATGTTGTGATACAATTTGGTTGTGTGTTATGTTTCACTCCTACTGGAATTTTATTTTGTTTTTTTTTTTCTGTCGAATCTGTGAGAACTGAGTCATGAATAAAATACGAATTCTTATTCTGCAATCTTATCTTCATAAAATTCAAAGGATTCCCCGAATTGTACCCCCACTGCGGATATCAAATGCCAATGTAGTAATAATTAGCAGTAGACTTATGAATGTTCAAGTTGCGAAAAGTACGCAACGTATCATTACTCATGCTACATATTTCTTTATTGTAGCCATATCAATGCTTTTTTTAATATGACCATACATAGCTGTAAACGGACATATACACTCAAACACACACAAACAAACAATATTTCCATCACAAACAAGTTAGGCAATATATAAGTAACTGCTAATGAAAGAATTTTATTATATTTGACTTTTCAAACATTGAAAAAGCAGACGTTTCCTTTTACTAAAAATATTTTAGAAGTATTAAGAGCAATTTTACATATTTCAATTTGTTATTCGTAAAAAGTGGTTTTTTATTGGAATTATCCAAGATTGTATACATTTCGCATTATGTTATTACTCAATTTCGCGCTTGTTCTATTCTTTTCATTGTACGCTTGGGCAATTGATAATACTCTGGTACCTGAAGCAAAAGGTGAAGATGTGGTGTGCGAAGTGATAAAAAAAATTGAGAAATCCTCAATATTTGGTGGTGACGAGAAAATGTTGAGAAGAATCGCTTATGTGGAATCAAAGTTTGGTACGGATCAAGATACATATCGACCAGGCTATAATGGTGGTATTTGGCAAATTGATAGAATCGGATTTGATGATGCCATGATTACTGGTAGTCATCCAAAACTCGATCAACTTTGGAAAGAAATTGAAAAATTGTTGGCCAAAGAAAAAAAGGATATCAAATGGTGAGCATTACGCAACTATCTAATAAATACCATTACTCCTTTCCAAATTCGCCGAAATTTCGATTATCCCTTTACAAATTTCGAAAATTTTAGAAAAAAAATCTTTCATTTTGCTAGGGTTTTTTGAGATCGTTACAAAAAAAGGAAACCAATTTTTTTAGAAAATTTTCATTACCCCTCCCTGGAATTTTTTGTGTGTGCACCAATGCTGACTATAGCAACTCACTATCTATAGATGGGTATACCCATTAAAACAATATTTATCGTCTATTCTTATTAGTTTTAATTATAAATAAAATGTTAATTTATTTCTTGAAAAAAACATTTTCTGTTTGTTATGCTTTTCAAGCTTCGTTAGGGTTTTTTCTTAAAATTTTAAATTATTACCGAATGTGGTTAGAAATTACGGCAAATCGCCAAGTTGCCACTATTGTATTTGCAGGATTATCCAAAGTCCTGAGTCAGACCAATGTTGACGTTTTGATATTTGACCGTACATAAAAAAATCATTGTCATTTTACACTGCTTGTTGTACACAACGTAAAACTTTTAATTTAAATTTACTTTTGATTTGGACGGCAAGTGAAAGGGTATGTTCCAGAATTATTACCTATTATTATTATGGTTGAGAAAATGTGAGGTCTGAGTGTTGTATTATAAGCAGACATTAGGTTTGAGCTATGGATATAGCTGCTGCTATTTCATAGCCGCTATTCATAGGCGCTATTGATCTCGTTTTAATGCATTTATGCATATTGTGAGTTATTTTCTACATCTCTCTCGTACTCACATTCAAATGTACAAACGAATAGTATGCTATGATATTCCTACTCGGTGTAACACACAGCACACGAATTAAATAGCGCCTATGAATAGCACCTATAAAATAGCAGCCGCTATATGCATAGCTCGAGTCTAATGTCTGATTATAAGTAAAAGTTACGATTATGCTAACTCGAGACATATCTGAAAATGAATCACTATTTATAAATGAAAACATATTTTTTACTTTTCCGCACACACCCCTGTGTGCAGAAAAAGTATTGGGATCACCTCAAAATTTTTGTCTACTTAAGATTATTGGGGTTGTCGAGGAATATTTATTTATTTATTACGAGACCTACATTTATACCAATATGTGCACGCGGGCATGCTGGTCAAAGACCCAATGTGGTATAAATTCCACAAAGAGACAATTACAAACAGGGAAGATGGTGTTAATATTATTAATATAATTGATCAACTAATCAAGAGACTGCGAGTTGATGAAATATCTCATTGTATTGTAAAATACTTGTCTGCTGATTGAGCTATCTAGCAAAACCCTTGATTGACTTTCTCGATAAAGAAAATGCATTTCATTTGAACAGCTGATAAGATTTGTTATCTTATGAATCATTCGCTAATATAGAACGTCTCGTCAAATTAAATTTATTATTATTATGTACTAGTATTATCTTTTATATGCAGGGAAAACCTTCGAATACCATTATTTTCTGGAGTTTTTGCCCGAATCAGACTATATTTAGTTGCTGAAGCGCTACCCGCATCCAATGAGCTAGGAGCACAGGCAAAATATTGGAAATACTACTACAATGGGGCTGGAGAAAATGGAGGCAAGGGAACAGAGGAAGAATTCGTGAAGCGAGTCAATGCAATGAATAAAAAATTTGGCACTGATTGTAACATGTGCAAAGGTAGAATGAACTTGGCAATCGTTATGGATGGTTCAGGTAGTATTGGTGCTAACGACTACAAGTATGCAAAACAAGCTGCTGACAATTTGATTGATACATTTTCAAATGACTTGGCAGACGTCGGTTATGTATTGTTCAGTACTTCAGTAGAAGTTATTTTTCCGTTGAAAAGCAATTTAACCCGAGATCAAATGAAACAGAAAATTGATGATTCATATTATCCCGATGGTGGTACGAAAACTAATCTTGGCATTGAAGAAGGCTGCACAATACTTCAAATGGCTGTAAATGATACTGGTGAGTATAGTTTAATAGTGACATGTTATCATTTGCATTTTATACAATTTAATTTAATTATTAATTCCAAAACTATTTTTTTCTGTATCCCCACACAGGAATCCCTAAAATCATGGTAATTTTCACAGATGGCCAACCCGATGATGCGCATCTTGCCACATCGGCAGCTGAACACGCAAAACAATCCAATATCACCATATTCGCTATTGGTATTGGTAGTAATATCGTTGAAGATAATTTAAATACTCTCGCCAGTCAAGATTCATTTGTCATACCAAGCTATGAGCGTCTTACACATGTTTACGATAAGATTAACAGCGTGATATGTAGTGTGCCACAGACACCGGGTATTGGTAACAAGGTGGAAAATGATAAGCTCGGTAAAAATGAGAAAAGATATTTTAAGTATGAGGTACCAGGCACGGGCGTTACAATAATAATTGATAAAATCAAGGGCAACTTTAAAGGTATTGCTTTTATTTTGAAGACTCAAATACTTAGTTATTAAATTACAAATCTAATTTAGGCTACTATTCTTACACCATTGAAACTCCATCTTCGGCAATTAACGATGGCGAGTTCAACATGGAGGTCTTCATAACTCCATTGAAGTCCAATAATCAAAGAGCCAAGCGAGACGTTGAAAGCGCCGGCGTAGTGCATGTAGCTATACAAGGTCAGGACGATGACAATGTATACAGTTTGGAAACAAGCGAAGGAAATCACACAAGTGGAGGAGACCAAGTGAAAATTAGCATGTTCTGCATCATAACGAACTTTATCCTATTTGTCAATTTCTTTTCTTCATGAAACCAATTCGTCATTGAAAAAAATCTGTGCAACAGAAAATACTTCCACAGGAAATAATTCCAAAATGTACAGGAACTACTTACCTAGAAACTTTACAAAAAAAGATAGTTTATTAATTGTTTTTTATCCAATATTTGATGCATGAAAATGTATAATTAGCTAATAAAAATTCCGGTGATGTTAGTCATTTTCTAGGAAAGCATGTCACTCACTATGGTGGTTTCATTTTATTTTTTTGTATTTTATGTATTTTTTCTTCATTATGGAAAACAAATAAGGTCTGAGACTTTGCAATCGATTTAAATCATTTATAATTTGGGCTAGGGGAGAGAAACCAATGGTAGTTTTTCTAGTTTATAGCTAATTTACTAGTTTTTTGCTTGAATAATCTAATAATGCTAATATTCCTTTATGAAATTGCTAGTTTTCTAGTTTTTTGTTCTGTCAAATGACAATCTAATGATTGTACTGACACAATGAAGTATTTTGACGTTTTGTTGTTCAGACATATTTTTATGTGTTTTGAATAATTATACACTTATAATAGTGAAAATTATTTTAATTATTCTTTTTTAGCACAAAATCGTGCATAAAGTACTTGTTTCTTTCAGTCAGCAAATCATGGCACAATATCAAAATGGCGGATCAAATAATATTTGCTAATAAAAAACTAGCTGATGGTTTCCGTCCCCTAAAATTTGGGCAATGTTTGACCTTCCTTCATTATCATCATCATTCCTGAGGAGTATCAACATATTGTATTTAGATAAAAATAAAAGAAACTGAAATAAAATAACTACACGATATCGTCTGTAATAAAGACTTGATATATAAAAATAACAGGAAATAACTATTATAAAAACCAATTGTAAACGATTGTAAATATTTGTGATCTGTTATTCCTGCAAAATAAATGAAACTTAAACGTTGGGAAAGCGATGTGAAAACTTCAAAAATCATTGTTACTCTCAAAAAGTCTGTTGATTGGATTTAGCATTTTTTTTAAAACCAATGTAAATTTTAATAAAAATGGTTTTCAAAACAACCTTCAGCCAAATATACTTATATTTTGTTGTATATGCATAATAAGAAGCCAACAAAAATTATTTACCAAAAGATTTGTAGATAGATTTATTGCTGTATTATCTGTGTTTAAGTTGAATAAAGAAATTCATTCGGTACAAAAATCCATTTAATAATAATCTCGGAGAAAGCAAAACAAATGTGATTATGATTTTCTATTGAATACGCGACTTTATTTTAACCATCAAAATTTTAAATAATTTTTGTGATATCTATATTACATATTTTGATTTGATTTATTATTGACCAGCAACTATTGTTGTAATTTTTATTAACATTGAATTTTGTTTTGAATTCTATACTTTTGTTATTTACGTTTTGTAGTGAAATTTTGTGATAACTTATTTTGCTATTAGTATTATACTAATTACATATTGAAATTTGAATTGATTTTGATTGAAAAGATCTTGGTTTTTAATATGAGGGTATTCCACTCTTTTCCAAGCATAACTATTGTACGCTATTGTACTGTCGTCCTGTTTTAGGTAGACATTAAAACCTCAAATAAATAAATAAATAAATAAAAGAAATTTATATTGATATTTATTGTCTTAATCTTTTGTTAAATTAGTTTTGTTGACATTCCGGAATTTTGTTTTTGAAAAATGTCAGTCATTTGAGTCGACAAGGATCACCAGTGTTTACTAATAGATTAATAAACAAAATGTTATGTTTCGAATATTATTGAGATTATGTGTTGTCAATTATTGTCCGTATGCAAAGTTACGTTTGTTATCAATATCATGTACCCAAACACCAAAAAATATACAAAAATACATTGATGAAATAATATAAAAAAGTGTTTACAATTTTCAAATGTGTGATTACAAGTATGGAGTCTTTTCATTCTGTAGATTTTTTATTGTTACTGGCGGATATTCAATAATTGAAACGAAAATATTTTTTGTAATTTTTGGTTTTGTTTTCTCTGAGATGGCGTTACTTTGCCACTTTTGAATTTATTTGCCAATGTATTAAAAGCAAGCAATAAACAATAGAAAAAATCTTATCATGCATACAATTTTCATTAACCGATTATTGGTTCTATAAATAAGAAAATAAAAAGTTTGGAATATAAGAAGAAGATAAAAAAGTGAGTTTCGACGACAGAGATCGAATATGGTGCTCGAATTTAAGATATTTCTTTGCAGCGCCGTAAAAAAAGTATCATATTTATGGGTCTAAAGTCATTGTTATCGCATTTAAAATTTTTGAGAACTCCAACATTCGTGTACGTGTCACATTCACTTGTTAAAAAAAAACTAAACGTAAATATTTTTGAGAAATGGAAAGAAGAAGATCAATATCCACGAAAAAGTCTTTTATATCTCGCTATGTGCTCAATTTGCAGTTTTTATTGATGGCCTTTTTGTGGTAATTGATTTAAATGAGTTGATATATTGATTAAATTGAAAACAGTGTTTATTTTTCAGTGTCCTTATAATTATTGGAGTAGTGTATTTCACCTCCGGCAAGGAGGCACAAAGTGAAAATTCAAATAATAAAACTCAAAATAAGCCTGTCTACGTAAATACCAGCCCGTTAAAACCATCCAAATGGGACGATAATGAAGAAATCAACATTTTTCGAGAATATTTACGAATCCCAAGCGTGCATCCAAACGTTGACTACGGTTAGTTATAAATTAATTTAAGGATTTTGTGAAATTGAAATTGGTATAGTACTATATGATCTAATTTTGAATTGTGTTCATTGCTACAGAACCATGTGTGGAATTCTTAAAACAACAAGCGGCCAGTTTAAATCTTCCGATCGCCATTTATTATCCGGTTGATGACCAAAATCCAGTAGTTGTGATTACATGGAAAGGCTCACAGCCAGAATTGCCAGCAATCATGTTGAATTCACACATGGATGTGGTTCCTGTTTACGTAGAATACTGGACGCATCCACCATTTGGTGCTGATATCGATGATAATGATGACATTTTCGCTCGTGGCACTCAAGACATGAAATCCGTTGGAATGCAATACTTGGCTGCAATTCGATCATTGCAACGGGATGGTGTAGATCGCCTAAAACGAACAGTACACATCGTGTACGTCCCCGATGAGGAAGTAGGTTCTATTATATTTGTGGTTAGTTGATTACACTAATACAATTATTATATTTAGGTCGGTGGTAAACGTGGAATGGTCGAATTTGTCAAGTCAGTTGCATTCAAATCACTAAACGTGACCTTTGTATTGGACGAAGGCAGTGTTGCAATCAACGACGAAGGAGTTATGCCAGTCTATCATGCAGAACGAACCATTTGGCAATTAGAATTTATATTCCATGGACAATCTGGACATGGATCCAAATTACTTAATTATACCCCCGGTGAAAAGTTTAACCTTGTCTTGCGAAAGTTTATGGAATTCCGTGCGGAGGAAAGTAGAAAATTGAATGAATTGAACTATCCTTATGGAAATGTAACAACGATCAATTTGACAAAAGTAAAAGGTGGCGTCGAAAATAATGTCATACCAGCTGAAATGAGCGCGACCTTTGATATTCGCATTGCCGTCGACACTGATCTGGATGAATTTAATAGAATGGTCAGTAAAAAAAGATCATTTTCAATAATTTACAATAAAAATCTTTTGATTTTTTGTTAAAGATCAATGGTTGGTGTACAGAAGCGGGGGGTGATATAACAATTAAGGCTCTAAATAAAGGTGAAAAAGAAAAAGTTACTCCAGTTGATGATTCAAATCCATTTTGGTCGGCTTTCAAAAGTTCCACGGAAGAATCGTACGTACTTAAAACGATTTCACTTGAATTTCTTATTCTTAAGAATATATTTCATCTTTTAGTGGCATAAAAATTCAACCAATGGTATTGTGGGCTTCGTCAGACATGAGATACATTCGACGATATAATATACCCGCTTTTGGATTTTCACCACTGATGAATACAGTGGCGAAACTACACGATCACAATGAGTACATCAATGTGATGACTTACTTGAATGGAATCAATGTTTATAAGAAAATTATTCCAAGTTTGGCAAATGTTTAACGCAACCAACAATACACTTTAAATTTAACATAAACGAGACACATATTTTATCTAACACTTTTAAAATGTATACTGATCCGTCGAATGAAAATGCTTCCTGGTATTGATTTCTCAAGATAATTAATAATTAATTCATTTTTGCTATAGTTGTGTTTATTCTTACAAAAACTTGCTGCGTTTCAAGATGGTTGCAAGTATGTAAGATTCAAATTAATAAAATTGCTATTTTGGAAAAAAACATTTTGGTTCTTTTATTCAGTTTATTAGGAGGTGAAATTTAACTAATAGGGGGTCCGATCTGGATAGTTATTGCGTCCTTTATTTTACGAAATCAATTTTCTGTTGACTCAAAATTAGTGGTGTTTCGTGTCATTTTTGTTCGTTTACTTGGTTGGAGTCTTTGTTTTTGATCTATTTTGCAACAATACAACAATTTTGGAAATCAATTTGTTTATTTTTTGTCTTTTATCTCACCAAATCAGTAATTACAATAATTTATTATGCTTTTCAGATTATCAGTCTGGAAACAAACAACATATTAATTGTCTTGTGAGTTTAAATATCACTTTCAGTATATTTAAAATTGTGAAAGAGAACGCTTTGGATAGTAATCTTTTCGTATAAACGGAGTGTGAAAAGATAAAAGATAAAAATCATGAACGCTATACTACACCTGTGTAATTTTTAAATGAACGAACATACGAGTTAGTTGAAAAAATCGTTTGTATAAACGTTCACGATTTTTTTTCTTCAAATTTTCAAAATCTTCAAATTGAGTGTAATATCTCGACAGAAATGGAAACGGATGAAAAACCATCGTGTGTCTCTCGATACATTTGCAATATCAAGTTTTTCGCATTTATTTGCATATGGTGATTTTTTTTGTTTGTTTTTTGTATTTCTGTCTGATAATTCCATTTGTAGCCTTGGTGTAATTCTTGGTATTTTGTACTATCCTAATGCTTGGAAATTGTTGGAAAGCATTGGACAACCAGAAAGTGAGAATGAAGTGAAGCCAATCGATTCTACAGATAAACCAAAACACAGTACGAAAAACTGGGATGATGATGAAGAGATAAACATACTTCGCGAATATTTACGAATTCCAAGTGTTCACCCAAATATTGATTATGGTATAATTTTCTGAGAACATTTAATTATTTTGAATTTCAAGATTGCATTGAAATGACTTCGATTATGAATTTTACATTGAAAATAAAAGACATTTTTTACAGTAATCAATTTCAAAACATAAATGACATTACAGAGCCATGCGTTGAATTTTTAACGAGACAAGCGAAAAGCTTAGATTTGCCCATGTCTGTGTATTATCCAGTGAATGATAAGAATCCAGTAGTGGTGATCACGTGGGACGGATTGAAACCCGAATTATCCTCAATTATGTTGAATTCACACATGGATGTTGTTCCAGTTTACGAAAAATTTTGGACGCATCCACCGTTTGCAGCCGAAATCGATGAAAATGGTGATATCTTTGCGCGTGGTTCTCTAGATATGAAGTCAATCGGAATGCAATATTTGGCGGCAATTCGTGCTCTAAAACGGCAAGGCGTAAAACAAATGAATCGAACCGTTCACGTCATATTTGTACCTGACGAAGAAATGGGCGGGATGCATGGCATGTACGGATTCATTCAATCTGAAGAATTCAAAGCGTTGAATATTGGTTTCATGTTGGACGAAGGAGGCGGTATAGAAACAACGCCCAATGAACTAGGTGCATATTATAGTGAAAAAACGGCATGGATGCTTGAGCTGATATTTCATGGACATTCCGGACATGGATCAAAATTATTCAATGACACTGTTGGTGAAAAATTAAGCTATGTTGTCAATAAATTCATGGAATTTCGATTTGTCGAATCATGGAAATTGAACGTTTTAAGATATCCAATCGGACAAGTTACATCGATTAATTTGACCATTTTAAAAGGTGTGTTTGATTTGCATTGATTTCAATTATATTATAAACTTATTCACTCTTACATTGTGAAACTAATGATATGCATTGCATCACAATACGTATTTCGTTACCTTCTAGGTGGCACCGAAAACAATGTAATTCCACCTGAAATGAATGCAATTTTTGATATTCGTCATTCGGTTGACGCCGATCTTGATGAATTTGAAAAGCAGGTGGACAATCACTTGTTCATTAAACGTCGAAGTAACATCTAAACGAGAGCTTTATTTCAGGTTGAACAGTGGTGCGAGGAAGCTGGGGGAAATATTACGATTAATTACATACAAAAGGGACCCAAAGCACTTGCAACTCCTATTGACGACACAAATCCATTTTGGCAGCCTCTCTTAAATGCGGTTACCGAATTGTACATTTAAAAATAAAATACAATGTTTTGTCGTTAGTTTAATCAAATGTCAATTTTCAGCAACTTGAAAGTTACTCCACAAATAATGTTTGCCACAACAGATTCTCGGTTCATTCGAAGTGTACGCATACTTTAACATTTAAAAAATACCATTAAATGCATTGAAATGAACTTTTACTGTCTTTTTAGTTGAACATACCAGCAATTGGATTTAATGCATACGTAAACAGCACGTTACATTCAGTGCACGGTCATAACGAGTTCTTAAATGCTGATATTTATTTATTTGGTATCGACGTGTATAAGAAAATTATTGAGCATGTGACCAATGTATAACACGAATTAATCAGCTACGATAAAAATGTTGTTAACCATAGGCTTTTATTGGATGGAAAATTTCACTGAGGTGCAATTAACGATACCAATTCTGACCTTATTAACGATTTGACAGATCTATAAAATGCAATGCCCTTGGAACTTGTAATAATGTAAAATAACAAATTGGAAGAGATTTTATTTTATTTCCAGTTGCATGAAAGTATACTTTAATCAGGTAGTCTTTTAAATAAAACTTTGTCAAGTGTTATGCTAATAAAACAACAATGATATATAGACAAACTCCAGATGCTTCATGACTAACGTCATTAATTAGAATTATTTAATAAATTAAAACATTTCCTCCAGTCATTGTGCCAACAAATAGTAAATATTAAAAATTAAGAACGCATTTACAGAGATACCATTGAAATCATAAATTAATTTTGAATATTATGCAAAAATATAGAAAATTATACATTACAAAGTAATTATTATGATTAATTCATAATATACTTTGTCATAGTTGACAGCGTGGATATTTTGGTGAACAAACGTATAAATACTGATTGTCACAGAATGATCAAGTATTGTATTTTCATAGCAAAATATTTTTCCGCAAAATGAAGTTTCTCATTCAAGCTCTTTTTTTGGTCGTCATTTTTACATGTGACGTAAGTGAAATTTTGGTTTTTCTTCAAGAATTGAAATAAATTATCAAATATTTTTGGAATTTTGTTATACCAAATAAATCGATCAATTGTACAATAGCAATTAGATTAAATATTGTCGTTGGATGATTCTTAATCCATTGATTTCAAAAAAATTTTTAAATTTCAATTTTTTTGTGATTATAAAATCAGATTCAGTCGGCGAAGGTGTTTGAAAGTTTATGTACCGACCATTCCCAAGTCTCATTTGCCTATGAACGAGTTAAAACTATTTTGAATCACTTGTCGAAAGATAATCAGGTAGTTAAAGATGTGCTGGCTTCGGTTGAAGCTGAATGGGGGCCAGTCGTAGATAATATTGCCGCATTTTCTGAGAGATGTCATACTTGTGCCCAGCTTTACGACAAAGATGTGCAGAAGTATCAGAAAAAGGCTTCAGCTGACAAAAAAATCGCACCGATATTCAAAAAAGCCGTGAACGAATATTTAAGCGACTTTAGAGACATGACAACTCAATTGGATGTATATACAACACCGATGATAAATAATTTCCTAGCACCAATCATAAATGAAGACGATGCAAGTGAAATATTCAAATATTTACAAGATAAGTTAAGCGATTTGATGGAGATTTTTCAACATGTGCACAATCAATCGGATGTGTTAATTGAGCATACACGCTGCGAACATTCCAGCAAATTTGATTCGGATCTTCAATATGTCCTTAAAAATAAAAAACTTAGACCCAAAACACCGTGTACCCACTGAGCAAATTTGCCAAAATCATAAAAATCTACATCATACATATGGGTTTTTACGTTTTCAAAAGGGGCACGACTATCCTCAGCTGAATACAATGTTGTAACGATTTTTGATTAAATAAAATAAATGCTGTACAAAAATAAAATGTTTTCTTTACGATTAAATTTATTTTATTAAGAAAAATAGTAAAATTTATTAAATTACGTAATGAACCGTTTTTGTTTCTCGAATATATGTAGTCACACATGCTGATAACATTTCACATCGGTAAAACTACCGACAAGTGATATTTTTGTGTCATGAACTGATACATCAAATGGAATTTTTATCGCTAAAATTACAAAGGTGTCATTAAGTTGATGATTTCGATTATGAAACCAAGTCTTGTCACAACAATTATCTAAATCCAATCTCTTGCATTTGAAATATGAAGCGAAATGAAATTGTTCCGGTTGATAAAATTTAGTTTCATTTAGTATTTTCATTGAAAACTATGGAAGAAAGAACTGATGTGCAGGCACCATACGTACCAAAATAATCTCATTAAGTTCTTTTTTTATCAATTCTATTTGGTAAATGTAATTTTCCACACTATCCGGCATATTCAGCAGTGATTTTACCACATTTAAAGCACATTTTCTTGCTTTTAGCGTTAGTACCACATTTACCCTTGTTATTCTCTATATATGGTCACATGACGTTTATCAAATTGATTATGATGACTTAAACGAATCGACACCAGAAACTGAAAAATTGGTTAATAACAACGAAATCCAGATTTTTCGAAAATATTTGAAATTTCGTACATTGTCATTTGGTCCGGATTTTGGTAAAATCTGCAAAATCCATTCAATCAAAGAGAAAAGTTAAACTTTGTTCATAAATTTTAGGACTTTGTGCTGAATTTTTGAAGAAACAAGCAGAAGATCTGAATCTTGAAGTGTCGCTAATTCATCCGGTGAATGGAAAAAATCCTGTTGTTGTAATGACATGGAAAGGTTCACAGACTAATTTGCCATCGATCATGTTGAATTCGCATCAAAATTATCACACCAAAATATTTTTTTTATTTGAAATTTCATTATCACACCAGACATGACACTTCACTCTATCAACCAAAATCGCTCAAAATCTAATGGTTCCTATTCCTCGGCACCTCCAATCATCCTGTGAAGTCAGATTTTGAATTGCTTTTCTTGTTTGAAAGTTATCGTATTATCAAATTTTTGCGTACAGGGTACAGGGTACGTGTTAATTTTTCGACCGATTCCAATACTTTACCTTACACACTAGGTGTGTGCGGAAAAGTAATAATCGACAAATAATCGGAAACATCCCGTGTTCTCTCGTTGTGCCTTTCAAATAGCACAATCGCAGTAGTCTGCACCTTTGCGTATTCAATGATGATACTGTTCACTTGTATTCAGACGTACAACTAATGTCGCACACATATACATACAAAGCTACACTCTCACATCTTTATACATATACGCAAAGGTGCAGACTTCTGCGTCCGTGCCATTTCAAAGGCACATAGAGAAAACACGGGATATAATGAAAATGAAAGTTGAATAACTAGAAAAACCTATTGATGATGATGATGATTTTTCTTTTAAATCTTTTCATTCACTTTTTTCAATTTTAAGTGTTCCATTGCACAATTGCTGTGATTTCAAAATCACAAATATGAAAAAAAAAAGATTTCAACAATGACAAACTGCAATATTATTTGGTTTATTCCCTAGAAAAAACCTCATTGTCAGTTCAAATGTAGTTTGTTCGTAAAGTATTTACACAAAAAAAAATATTTTCATTTAAAAATGACATGTGAATGTGATGATGTATATTTTTTCCGCAGAAACTTGAAGACAAGGTGAAAAACATCAATATACAAGAGGTAACACGGGCCGAATGCTTAAATCTATCAAGCAATTTTACAAATGAGCACATTGTTGTTTTCGATAATTTTGATGATGAATGTTTCGAGGCGATAAAAAACACACAAGCATTGTAAATAATTGGGCATCAATTGGCAAACATATTTACAAAGAATGAATGAATGAATTCCATATGATTTTGGTTTTACAGTATCTTTGGACCAGACAATATATTGAACTAACTGGTCAGTTGAGCTGACAGTACGCTAGCCAGCTAAATGGACCAAAACATAGAAGTTATTGTTATAATGAACAATGACTACTATTAAAACAAGAAAAGTGATTCATCATTAAAACAATAACGTCTATTGTTTTAGCCCATTTAGCTGGCTAACGTACTGTCAGCTCAACTGACCAGTTAGTTCAATATATTGTCTGTTTTGGACCTCAATGCATCATAACATATCTAACGGATAACATAACTATACCTAATATCAACAAACCTATTTTGAATTTGGCAATGCGTGGCTTAATTGTATGCCTATTGTTGATGTTCGAGAAAAGGTGAGAATTTGTGTATATATTAAAATGTGATCACTATATAATGGACATTTTCAGACAAGATTGGAAAAACTGATAACATACATGAGTGGCCAATGCATGGTTTCATTGAACAACACTGTTACACACTTGATAATAGATATAATAATATACGAGGTAAATTCATTCAATGTTAGTCGTTCAATTACCGTACTTAATGCATATTTTTCAAATTATTTAGGATGCCAAAAACTACAAAGCTACATTTTATTGTATAGTTGCAGATGAATTATTTAAACAGTTGGATGAGTTCATTGAATATGCACAGTCTTTAAATGTGGACTTTAATGCTGTTGCATCCGATGGTGAAAAATTTATCAATTTGATGATGGTGATTCATCAATTTGAAGCAAAAAAGTTCCATTGGGATTTTGATTTTGAAAAATATCAATACGTGCCGAATCAAATTTTTTTGCAGCTCTCAAATATCATCGTAGAACAATCTAAAAATAAAAATGTAAAAATTCTAGCAATTGCATTGATGACAAATAATATCGCACTTGTACATACACAAAAAGAGGTGTAGTATACTTATATTTTACAAAATGTGCACAAAATATGTAGTGATTTTTTGACAAATATTAGAATAAAAGTGTTAAATATGGACATAAATTGTGCCTATGTGAGTGCACAAAATATACACCAAATTTTGAAAAATTTCTCACAAAATGTGTTTAATATGGGCATAAATTGTGCATACTCTTGTATGCAAGCAAATGGTTAGTTGGGATACACAGTGATTAAATATTCATCTGTGAGTAAACTCGTTATCGTTTATTATCTATCAGCCAACGATAATTTGCAAGTTAATGAAATTAAGGAAATCGAAAAACTGTGCAAAAATAGATATGAACAAGGATCAAATAACATCAAATTTACCAAGATTTTCATGGACAATGTAACACAAAAAATAAGGATCAATTATTCCGGTATCTGGGCACTCTTTTATACCCAAGCCTTAATTAATGGTAATGTAAATACACAGAATTGTGATTATGGTGCGCCTAGGGACAGAGCAGTACTAGAATAATCATTTTTGTTTAAAGTAATTATATGTTGTGAGTAGTAATCCATATTAATCCATAGTAATACACACTTATACGTAAATTCTAACAGCAGTGCAATGACGTTTCATGTGTACGTTGTGTATTAAATTTGTTAGGAATAAAGCGTTCGTCGTATATTGCGGATTGAAACAATTTATTCGATATTTATTAAATTAAATTCGTTATTTTCCATTTTTTAACAATAAAATATCTCATCCAAAATATACTGCGATCGCTTAATGCCTAGCAAATGTCATACACAACGTACACATGAAACGTCATTGCACTGCTGTTAGAATTTACACAAGTGTGTATTACTACGGATTAATATGGATTACTACTCACAACATAGAATTACTTTAAACAAAAATTATTATTCTAGTACTGCTCTGCCCCTAGTGGTGCACACAACATTATAATTGGATTGAAAAAGATGTCCATCGTGATTGCATCAAAAGTTCCATTACAATTTCACGAAATCGAACTACATGATCCAGTGCCGTCACAAAAAACACAACCAGAAAAACCAAAACGTAAAAGTAACGGATATCCCACTAGTAGTAGTAGCGATATAAGCGGAAAAACAACAAACAAAAAAGCTAAAAATGCAGTTGTAAGAATTTTGTTTAAAAATTAAATTTTATTTACAAGGATACATCACTATGGGTTGCGCCTGTTGAGCAAAACGGCATATGCCATTCAGGGACCGGTTCGCGCATATTTCTATGCCTTAATACGCTAGATAGCATAGATATACCAAGCATAGCCGCAAACGCAACCGACGCATCGCCGTTCACTCTATATGAACAATACAACGAACATATATGCGGGCGACCGTGCATTGAGAGACGTACGCATACAATATAGCTCGAATCGAATGGCGACGGGTGCGTTGCGGCTTGCGTCCCCACTATGCTTAGCATAGCTATCAGGCATAGAAATATGCGCGAACCGGTCCCTGATTTTTTTTCGCTACAGCCTTTGGTAGTTTTCATACTAGGAGGCATTTCGACGAATTTTAAAAACAACTTGCCGATTATTTTTTTCACCTGAAAATTCGTATTGGGGGGTTTTTTGGTACGAGAAAGCCGAATCTGGCCTTTGTTTTGCGATAAAATCACGTTAAAATACACTTTCCGTACAAAAATTCACTTTTTTTTGACAAAAATTCATCATTCTGTACTAATAATGCCACATATATTCAAAGTTTATAGGTTTTTTGTCTCTAGAAACATTTTTAGAGTAAAAATAACGCAATTACATCTTGTATTTATAGCCATTTGAATGTTCATCATAGCTTGAATATCGAGAATTCCATAGCAATCAAGAGAAAATGAACGAATCATCAAAACGTATTCACAAAACGATTTAAATTCGTAGGAAAATTACCTTTTCAAACTGTCAATACTGTTCCACAATCTCCAGATGACCGGAATGATGATTGATGTTATTGTATGCAAATCACAAAGTGCCCATATTAAACGAGTCAGTCAAGCACATCAAAAAACAAAAAAAGACAAAGTCGAACAAAACCATCAATTTCGTCACATGGAAGGTGTATGTTAAATTAAATAATGAGCGCCTATTTTGATGTACGTTTGGCAATCGACGCTGATGGTGACTGGTTTGAACAAACGGTAATCAATTTGAAATGTTGAAGTAAATTTTCTCAAGCATGAATAAATTGGATTGAAAATCAAAAAATAGATTGAAAGCTGGGCGAAAGAAGCAGGTAAAAATGTTACCCTGCAAATAATACGAGGCATGAAACCATCATGGACATCGGTTGATAGCTCAAATTCATATTGGACGGCATTTAAAAATGCCACTGATACAATGTAACACATTTTATGGAATGAACACGTTTAAATTGTTTATCTAGAAACTAACACGAATTCATTTCAATTTTCAGGCAATTGAACGTTACACTGGCTGTATTTCAGGCGGGTACAGATAGCAAATATATTCGGAATGTAATTATTTTAAATCATTTTTTTATATCCATTTCTTACGATGTTTCATTTAAATTTTAAGCAAGGTATTCCAGTGTTGGGATTTTCGCCACTCATGAACACGATGAATACATCAATGCAGATAACTATTTGAAAGGCATTGGAATCTATGAAAGAATCATTGAAGCAATCGTAAATGTGTGACGATAAGAAGATAATTTAAAGTTTATTACGATTTCATGTGGTGAACGTGATCCCAACAATCTTCGCTTCCACTCACCAGTAAACCTTTGAATATTTTTGACGCCGATTTTCGATTTTTTTCATCGAAAACATCGAAAATCGGCGTTTGACATTTAAAGGTTTACTGGTCAGACGAAAAAGAAAGATATCAAAATTCCAATACACTAATCAGACATTATATTGAGATATTTTCAGCCAGATGAATCAGCTCACGCAACTGACGTCAGGCGCTGAAATGTAGCGACAACAATGGAAGTGATTTTTATAGTTCTAAAAACACTTTCATTCTCACAAAAAACATAACAATCACTTCTATTGTTTTCACTCCATTTCAGCTGACTTGCTGACGATAGCAGCCTGAGCTAATTCAGCTGGCTGAAAATATTCCAATATAATGTCTGACACTGATTGAAATATGTCAAATCACGAATTGCGCAGTAATTTTTATATATGTGTTCTACTCTTCGCTAAAAAGTTTTACTGTTCAAATTGCTATTTATGTGCGATTATGCTTATCAAATGATAGTAATTATATAATTAATTTGAGAGGTAAAAACTCAATGTTAATTAACATCTCAAGTTATAAATTGTACAATAAAATTCTGACTTTCATAACTGTGTTTTGAATAATGGTTAATTTGGCAAATAAAACAGCAACATTACCAAGATAAAACTTTATTAATTTCGTTCTCGTTCGACTGAAGAATTGTATAATTTCAAGATATAAAGCTTAATCATTCCAAAGCATAATCAGTGTGAAATATGGAGCCTAAATTGAATGCGCAAGTGCACAAACGCGTGCGCAAATTTCTTTTGATATCAATTCCAATCATTTGGTAAGAATATATATTCAAAATTAATAACTGAAATAAGTTTGCAGTGTAGTGTGTTTGTATTTACAGTGTTATAATAGCTCTTGGTGTTGGTGTTTATTTTTACACTAATAATGAATCTTCGCACACCGAGGACCCAGATGCTTTGAATGATTTAACACCAGCCACAGCCAAATGGGTTCAAAATAAAGAAATTCAACTGTTCCGGAGATACTTAAGATTTAAAACTATATCTCTTGAAACTGATTTCGGTAATTAGCTTTGAATAAAAAAAATTTCTTTTTTTAAATAGAACCAATAAGAATTTCGTCGTCAAATTTTCGGCGAAAAATCTCTTGATTTCAGAACCATGTATGGATTTTTTGAAAAAACAAGCCGATAGTTTGGGTTTTGAAGTAACGATCTACTATCCTGTGAATAAACAAAATCCAGTACTTGTAATGACATGGAAGGGATCTGACCCAGATTTGCCATCTATAATGTTGAACTCACACATGGATGTAGTTCCAGTGGCCGAGGAGTATTGGGAACACCCGCCTTTTGCCGCAAAAATGGATGAATATGGAAACATTTATGCTCGTGGCTCTCAAGACATGAAATCTGTTGGAATGCAATACTTGGCAGCAGCCCGAGCGCTACAGCTTAAAGGAATAACTCAGCCGAAAAGGACGATCCACCTGACTTACATGCCGGATGAAGAAGTAGGTGGTTATCTCGGCATGGGCCCATTCGTTGCAAGTGATGCATTCAAAAAAATGAATGTTGGCTTTACATTAGACGAAGGTTTTAATATTGAACAATGTTTGAAATGAATATGCGGAGTAATATTTATTTATTTTTACGTAGGTTATCCATCGACAACTGATCACTTGGAAGTATTCAATAGGGAAAAACCGTCTTGCAAAATTACTGTTGTTGCACACGGCCACTCTGGTCATGGGTCACAACTTTTTGATGACACTGCTGCCGTTAAATTGAACTATGTAGTCAATAAGTTTATGGAGCTTCGTCGAAATGAAACTGCAAAATGGAAGGAAGAGAAATATCCATATGGTAATGTGACTTCCATTAATTTAACGATATTGAACGGTGGGCTCAAATCAAATGTAGTACCACCAGAAATGGAGGCTGTCTTTGATGTAAGGTTGTCCATTGATACCGATTGGGATGAATTCGAACGAATGGTTATTATTTCTCTCTTATAAACTTTTGTTATGTCAACTATATTACTGTTATTTAATAGATTAAAAGTTGGGAGAAAGAGGCAGGCAAAAACGTAACAATTGATATACAAAAATCCCCCAAAACACCGGACACAGTTATAGATCATTCGAATGGGTATTGGATGCAATTCAAAAAAGCTACCGATGAACTGTAACTGCTCTTTTAATTTTTGAGAAAATAGTTTTTCATCTTAAAGACGATTTTTCGAATTTAATTTTTAGCCATCTGAATGTCACTCCAGGGGTTTTTGCCGCGAGCACGGATAGCAAATTCATTCGTAAAGTAAGTAATAACATTGATGAATTTGTAATTTTTTTTTAAATTTCTGTTTTGATTATTTTAAGGCGCACATTCCAGCCTTGGGTTTTTCACCACTTTTAAACACACCACCAAAATTACATGAACATAATGAGTACATCAATGCTGAAACTTACTTAAAAGGAATTGAGATATACTCTAAAATTATCGAAAAAGTTGCAAACTTCTAATGAATTAACTGCATAGCAACGTAAACGAACATCCAAATACATGGGACTTATTTCGTTTTTATCATTTTCAAATATATGTCATAAAGAATCTATTTTTGTACACAGCAAATGTCGTGACTCAATTTTGTTGTAGGTAAATCAATAGTTATAATAAGTATGGTAGAGTTTGAAGTTTGTTGATGTTGCTTCATTAGTTGTTGTGTTATTTTTATGAATATATAAAAAGTTCAACTAGATCAATCTATTACTATTATCCGTTGTTTATCACAGTGTCATCACTCAAGAGTGTTATAAGTGATAAATTATATTTTTTCGTCAACATGAATTTCCTGCATGTCAACATTATAACAACCATTTCGACTAACATCTTTTTTGTGTTTTACAAATATTATGGCTAGGAAAATATATTAAACCATATGCCGTGACTACTGGTATCATGAAAAAGCGATAATACGAAAACATTCAACAAATATTTGTTATTTTCTAACAATTGAACCGCCATCAACGAAGAAATGTAATTTCCAATGAACATAAATTACGAAGCAATATTTTATCAAATAGATCACGCAAGGTTTCAATTAAGTTTTTAATTAATTAAACCTCAAAAGTACTTCATTGAATTTACTTGCAAACAATAAGTCCAACTACTCTAGTGGATTAATTCAACACGAATCTAGTATAAAGACATCTTTTTCAATGCTTTGAGGCCGGCGCCCCACAAACTATAGTTTAAAAAATAAATTAAAAAAGCACACTTTCTTGTTATCTATGGGTTTTTATGTTCAAATGTATACTATTATATAGAAATATGTACAACTGCATAAATTCGTCTGTGGCATGATTTTTTCATTTCCTTTTGTGCGGACTTCCTGCGATTAAGTGTACATATTACAAGATATGTCTTATTCACTGCCACAAATGAGACATTTTGGTCGTATATATGATGATTCATCATTGATGAATAAGACGTGAATATTGTATGAACGAATACATAAAAGCCTTGTTATATGAGACACATGAAATCAAGTCAGATGACGATTTTTTTCAAACTGTATACAGTGATAAGTTTTGAACGAATTTTGGATACAACAAGAAACCACTTAAGATCAATGAGTTTTATGAACTTTTGACTCATGGAACCATACAAATTTGCTATTTTAGTGAGTCTAATGGATGCTACCTTACGTGTCTACCAATAGGTTTCTGGAATTTAATTTCAACTCTTTAAAGACATCAACATGTTTGTATCAATAACTTATATACTTGCTATCAATGCACGTCAACCGTATACGTACTTTTGGCGTACATCTTACATAATAATAAAACAAAGGAATGCATTGTTCGTTCATTTTTATAATAAAAATATTTCGATATTTTCGTATCATTCACATACTTGTACATGTTTGTCAAATGGAAAGTACATATATTCTTCCGTAAAGGTTAAAATTCTCTCAAAAAAGCATTGATATCGCCAACACTCAATACACAACACTCTGTGTACAAATGTGTACGTTTTCACGAGATTTAATTCAAGAGCATGTGATGTATAAGGTAAACTACAAATTGAGAATGTATTTTTTTAAAGCCGGTATTTAGCATGTGAATGTCAAAAGTTTAAATGAATTCTATTCATTGATACAGTCATTTCTGTGATACATGACATCAGAACTATCTAATTGAATAGTTAGTCATATGAATCTGTTCAAACTCAATAAAATGTATTCGTCGAGTTAGCTATTTTTCAGTCTAGATTCTTCGTTGCAAGAATAGAGTATACATTTTTTAAAAGTTTATTTTCTATATTTTATTGTTACTAATCTGAAATAAAAATGGGAACCGTTAACAATCCAGTAAGCATATATGCACATATAAAAAATTGGTGCTATAATATATCTCATTTTTTTCTTAAATACTGCTAGGAAGTGCCGTTTTTATACTCGATTCCAGGAAGTCTTCACCACGGCAGCAAAATTGAAATTGCTGGTCAAATGCTTGACAGTGAAAGGTTTATTTTTTAAAATATGTGAAAAATACACACATTTTAATGCGTCCGCAATTTTCATGTTAGATTCCGTGTGGACCTTAAAACCGGTTCCCATGTTCCAGATAACGTCGACGATAATACCGATGATGATGTGAATTTTCATCTGAGCGTACGTCCACTCTATGGAATTTCTCGAAATCATATGACCGAAGATGGATGGGGGGAAGAGGAACACGACGATGAATGTCCTATTGCACATGGTGCAGAGTTTAAAATGGTTATTTTGGTTGAAGAGGACAAGTTCAAAGTTAGTCATTTATTAATATTTGAATATTTCCACTTAAGTGAATCACGCCCATTTTTATAATTTGAAAATAGGTTGTCATAAATGATTTGGATTTCTGTGATTTTCAACATCGTATGCCATTATCATTGGCAAAATTCCTTTACATCAATGGCGAGGTTAAAATTCATTATATCAAAATTGAAAATGTAGCTTAAACAATTCACCCTCACCGCGTAAGTGAATCACATGCTGTTTTTGTCATTTTCAATGATTGAAGCAATTATAATTTGAATTTGCCTTTTTGATATATCATTATCATGTTTATGTTTTTATATTTGGCAGTTATATCGTCCATAACTGTCAACCAATTTGATGATTCAGATAATTCGATCGAACATTTTATTTATTATAATCAATAGGTGTCTAAAACGTGCCACATCAAGCATCAATGTGTGCAAACATTAACTGTTGACATCTATTATTTGTTATTCGAAATAAAACAGGACGGAAAAACTTTCAATCATACGGACTTGATGTAAAAAATGAATAAAAAATAAAGCGAATGCCTCATCAGTTTATCAATAATAAACAAATTGTATAATTTCATTCTGAATTCCTTGGAACTGATATAAACTTTGATTGAAATGATCTAGGGGGATTCCGCGCTCTTAAATATGAATAAATATGAACAAATTCGGGGGATTTCAACAAATTCAAGAGATGTTAACACAACTTTACGTTTTTTGGGAGATATTTTGAGATTTTCTGAACTGCAATACCGACAATGTTGAACTTGACAAGAACAGGGAATGAAGAAGTGGTGAATTATTATGACAGCTTCTATATATTAAAAAATATATTGATTTGTTCTGATTAACTATTTGTTCAATCTCTTTTATACTTTGTTCATTCAAATTACTTAATGACGCTCTATCGATTGCACAGACAGCCAAAATATCTTTAATAATTTTTGGAATTTTATATTCGTAGAAGTTTTGATACTCACGCCAGAACCGTTCCATTGCAAATGGCACATTTCAATTTTGCTTCGTAATGCAAAAACTTACACACATGTAACAAACAACTACCATGACAGCTTAGAAGCTGTCCCAATAATTCACCTATTATAAATAGGTCTGCAGCGCCAAAAATTCACCACCATTCATTATTATCTCATATTCACCCATATTCTAAAAATGTCAAAATATTCGACAAAATTTGAAGTATCCTACATGGTGGGTATCGGTGAATACTTACGGATATTGTCAGATACGGTGAGATATTTGAATTTTTATGAGATTTTTTTTTTTTTTTTTTTTTTTCGAATCAGGGAGGTTCGAAAAACTCATTGTGTACGCTTAATAGTGTTTTACAATAAACCTGATTTGTACTGTGATCTAACTTAGTCAGTACTATAGTAGTTTCAGAATTAGAAAGCGCGAGATATATGGTATGAAGTCTCGCTGCATTTCTTGTAGAATTTTATTATTGTTTCAAGCTTGTGCTTTATAATCTCATTAGCTTGAGTGACTTCCTTTCCGAAATAAATATTTCGTATTCTAGCGAAGGCACTACATTCACATAGAAAATGTTTCGCTGTTTCTCTTGATCTACCACACATGTCGCAGTCTGGGTCATCTCTTATTCCCAACTTTGCCAAGTGGTCATTTAGTTTACAATGACCTGTGATCAGACCTATGACAATGCGTGTGTTTTGCTTATTCATTTCTAGAATCTGGTCCGTGACCTTTGGGTTTATAACTCTTAGGAAGCATTTGGTATGCTCGCCTATTCTAGTTGCATTCCAAGATTCTATTGTTTGTTTAGTCAGGAATCTTTCGTTTTCTTTCCTGATTAGCTTTCTGTCGATTGCCAGCATTGGTTCTGGTCCTTCGACATTTTCAGTTGCCGCATATTTGGCAATATGAGATTTTAAGAATGAAGTTAAATTTTGGTACATAAATACGCGCGGAATCCCCCTAGGAAATGATAGTATACATAAAAAATAGTATTCATTTCATGTAGTGTTGAAAATGCATAGTTAATTTATTTATTCTTAATCATTGAGTGTCGAAACAGTTTATTTCTACATCTTCCATAGTTTCTACCTGCTTAAATTCAAATCATTTATACATCGATTCATCAAGCACTACTTCGGAATAAATCGGCAGCGTATTAGTAATGCTGATGTTCGTCCAATTCATTTTTTCTGATAAAGCGTTTGGTTTCACATTCTCATATTCTGCAAAAAAACAATGATAACAACTCTCAACCACGAAAAGATTGAATGTTGATTGATCCCGACAATACATACGCAACAGTGAGCAGATGTATATTCAAATATAAAATAGCATACGATGAATGAAGTCATTATTATTTGATTATGAGTGTATATTTCAGAGTCTGCAGTGAGATATACACATGTGTTCTATTTCTTTACACAGCTATGAGACGTCGCCTTAAGGCTGGTCGTTTTTAATCATATTTGACATTTTGTTTATCACATACCATTGTTATGGTTGTAATTTATGAACCTCAAAATTGACGTTTTAAAGTGTGCGTTACACAGTGTGACTGTACAAAAAATTTCAAATTATGATATGAAATCAAAAATTTCTCAAAAACAAAAATGGCCAGCCTAACTGATTCACAATGTATTCTGAATAGAAAAAAATATATGCTCATATTTTCGGTCACAGTAGAGAGTGAATAAAGTTAGTCCACAATTACTTCGCTCAAATAAGAGAAGACGAAAAATCAGACAAACCGATATCCAGAAATGAGATCGATTTCTGCTAATTATCCAGTAAGTATTTAGTATATCCAGAATGTATTCATTTTGATACTTTTATTGTATTTCAATTGATGATGAAATTCGACTATCATACATATATTTACTAGTGAATGATTTTTTTAAGATTATTTCTGATGGAATTCGACATTATCTCTAATTAATAAATCTCTGTTACTCCCATGAAAATTCACATTTGAGTTTAGCTTTTATTTGAACACTCTTTTAATAAAGCCAATTTTTGATTGGATTTAAACACTTCCAGGAAGTGCCATTGTTGTACTCGATTCCGGGAGACCTTCAACACAACAGCAAGATTGAAATCATTGGTCAAATGCTTCACAGAAACAGGTTTAATTATTTTTATCTTTTTGTGATTCCTGACAAAAATACATGAATGCGTTTCGTCTTAAATTTTATAATAGATTTCGCGTAGACCTTAAAACTGGATCTAAAGTTCCTGTTGGCATCCATGATGATACCAATGATGATGTAATTTTTCACCTAAGCATACGTCCTTTCTGCATACAATGATTTTTAGATAGGATATAGCTTGCGGATCTCCGCAAGATCTGGATCTCGCCGTGCGTCATAGCCGCATGCCGTATGATACATTCACGCGCATGCTGTACACATACGTTCTTCATTTCTTTGAGACGAACGCAATCCATTCGCGCGCCGATGTATTGTATGTTTTTAGCGCATGCGCGAATGTGAAAAAGAGAAACGCAAAACGAAAGAGTGTGTACGAGTGTGTCGTAATTTAAAATAATAAATTTATTCGATTCATTTTTATTTTTATTTATTGACGAATTGAAATTTATTATCATTCCGGGACAGAATTTATAAACACTAGACCAAAGCCAACTATGAATTGTGTGCTAACACTTCGTTTAAGGAAAATCTACGTATTTTATAATATACGAAATAAGCCGGGAATTGACTTCGATTGCATGTTTCTCAAAGCACTTTTGATTGGCGTATGCACATTCCAGAAAATCAAAGACGCGCCGGTTGAAGATGGCATTGTGGCACTCATAAAAGGTAAAGTAGATTGATTGAAACTAAATTCATTTGAGCTAAACTCATTTTATTTCAAAATCATGCATTGTATTTCGTTCCATAAAAATAAAAATGAATCGAATAAATGTTATTTTTCTTAAGTCTCACTTTTCATTAGCTGACGTATTTTGTCTGCGTGCGAACTACAATGAGTGTATGTTGTTATGAGTGTATGTTGTTCAAACAACGACAAATGCTATTGTATGCTTCTTCGTTATTTAAAATAACGACACACTCATACACACTCTTTCGTTTTGCGTTTCTCTTTTTCACATTCGCGCATGCGCTAAAAACATACAATACATCGGCGCGCGAATGGATTGCGTTCGTCTCAAAGAAATGAAGAACGTATGTGTACAGCATGCGCGTGAATGTATCATACGGCATGCGGCAATGACGCACGGCGAGATCCAGATCTTGCGGAGATCCGCAAGCTATATCCTATCTAAAAATCATTGTATGCCTTTCTGCAATGAAATTGTTCGAAACCATATGACTCAAGGTAGATGGGGGCACGAAGAACGTGAAGGTGGATGTCCGATTCAATATGGTTCACAATTTAATATGCTGATTCTCATTGAAGATGACAAATTCAAGGTTAGCTAACTAAATTTTTGAATTATATCTCAAATCAAGTAAATCACATTCATGTTACAATTTAAAAATAGGTTACCATAAATAATTTGCAGTTTTGTGAATTCAAACATCGCCTTCGATTGTCATTGGCAAAATTCCTTTACATCAGTGGCGAAGTGAAAATTCATTTTATCAAAATTCGAAATGATTCATATGATGATACTAGATCCGCTCGAACCATTTAGTAAGTATTTCGTGAAAGCTGTGTATGTCTTCGGAACATACAATGTTGTTTACTATTTATCTATATCAGCTATTGCTATAGGGATGTATCATATATCCCTATATCATATATGAATAGCTGCTATTTAACGCATCTCTTCGCTCGGTCGCTATGTATACTCGACATATCAATGGCTTCATTGTTTTGAAATGATTTAAAATGTTAAACATTTCAAACAATGAGAGCATTGTTATGTCCAGCATAAACAGTGTCCGAGTGAAGAGATGCGCTATATAGCAGCTATTTATATATCCCCATAGCAATAGCTAACATAGATAGCTAGCTAGAAACATTGCTTCGGAATGATATATAGTCCTATGACTCATAGGTATAAAATGTATATACTATCATAATATGATTTTGTATGTAATTGTTTTACTGTTTTTTTCACAATTTCATTCCAAAATATGTTGAAGGCCTCTTAAATGTATTTACCGAAGAACGTAGTTTACATAGAAAAACGACTATTAATGGTAGAGAATTTAATATTGTCAAAATCGGAAAAAAGGTCACAATTTTTTCCATCAATTTTTTTTAACATGAAATCTTGTATTCAATCTGTGTCTCATATGATTACTAAAAATAACAAAACACTGAACAATTTCGAGTATTGTGTTAATAAATTTTTATCAGAAAAATGGTCTGCTTTTCATTAGTTCTTTCAATCACGTCATTTAAGGCATTTTTATTATCGATTGTAATATTAACTATTAAATCTATCTATCTAAAACTATTTAAAAATCATGACGAAAACATTGGCCGCTTTGTTTAAGTATACAATAGAAAAATATAATACAATAACTAATGCAAATATTGTTCTTTTAACACTGAACGAAGAAATCTGATCCACATGCAATTTTGAATCATGAATGTTAGCTGAATTTGTGTTTATACAATGTTTCATTTGATATGATAGCAGATTTTCATTTTTGTTGTGGTTCCTAATCATAATTGTGGTGTTTTTGTGACAAAAAAATCTTTTGTGGAATGTTTTTTTCGTATTCAGATTATGTTTTAAAACAAACATACAGATACCTACACTTCATAAAAAGATTTTTTTTTACATTAAATATCGGGTTTTTTGTTAACTATCACATTTTAATGACATTATTATAAACTATCAAGATGATAGTAATAAAAAGGCAATATTGGTGATTTTGAATTCTGTTCATTGTAGATTGTGCATGTATTGAGGTGTGTTCATGAAAAAAAAGAACACAAGAACAAAACGGTGTTAATTTGAATTTGATTTTTACACGTAAAAAGCAAAAATCACCTAATAGAAGCAGAAGTTCTGATTTCATGTAACCATGTGTTGTCTGAGCAAGTACCAGGTTTCCGCCACCAGTAATTGACATCTGGATACCAATGAGGAATATCCATAATAGCCGCATCGTGTAATCTTTCGCACAATGTACAGAAAAAGCGTATGGGCTCCTTTACAATTTTACCGGTGCCTTTCCATTGGAAATATGCATTATATAGTTCATCTTTTTCGTCCAATTCATGCAAATAGGCGGCCAAATCAGCCGGAGATTTGAAATCGTCAACGTGAATAAATGAATAATATGGTGCAATTTTTTCGTAAGTTTCTCTTGGTGGCCCCATAACAATTGGTAAAACGCGTCGCGAAAGTGCATTGACAAAAAATTTTTCCGTAATATAATCCTTGCAGTTTGAATTTTCAAACGCCAAATAAAACTTGTAATCCTCGTCAAGCATTCTAAAGCATTGTAAGGCGTCTTCACGCGGACAACTCAAAGGCCCACACTTTCCATAGATATCGACCTGTATAACAAAATCATATAAAAAAATGTGAGCACTGCCAGACGGTAGCAAACGGCGATTTTTCACACCAACAATTTTTTTCTTACCGAAATAAATTTTTGTAATTCCATCACATATTCTAAACGACCATTTTTATCATCACAATTCGAAACGAACCATGCCACCTGTCTCGTTTTGTTCGTAGCGTAGTTTCGGTCTTGCTCTTTTTGCCACACAGTATCATCGTTATATACCCATCGTCGATAAGGCGATGGAATTGTACTGTCAGATCTAACGGGACAAAAAATATTGAAGTTTCGATTTTTTTATTGATTCAATAATTGGTAAACCTGTATGATATGGTCCAATTGATGGTGACATATTCCGGTATAACCCGCGAATGTGGTGGTGATTCGCTGTAGTACAAAGCGAAAATTTGTTGTGGATTACGCTGATACTCGGCACGCGTATGATCATGTTGGCCGTTGAATAAAACTAAGTCAGCCATTTCTCTCTCTGAAGGGCTTGTTGTAATAAAACACCGTTGAACGGCACAATTTTCTAATTGGAACGTTCTGATGCCTTTTAATACTTTGAACCATTCGGGAAGATGGTACACAAAAATCGATTTATATCCCATATTTTTTAAAATGTGAGTTGTTGGCGGCGCTGGTCTGACCGGGTACATTTTTTTAATCCTGAAAAAATCATTAAATTATTATAAAGAATTGCAAAACGCATGGTGTAACGGTCATCCGCTCTTTTTATTACCAATAAAGAATGCAAACAATCACTACGACCATCATGAGATATTTAAAATACTGGTTTCGACGTATGCACCGAGCAAAGCTAGTTATATTATTCCACATTTTATCCGATAAATAATGACAAAGAGTAATTAATAACTATTTAAAAATGTATCGATAACTGTATATAAAAATGGCTTCACATGCGGAACAATCGATTTAAAATACTGATGTGAAAACACGTTGTAATTGGTTTGCACTTCTAACAACACACACAGACAAGTGTTTATATAGTTTATTTCTCACTTTTTCACTTCCTCTCATTTGCGCAATTATTTCGATAGAGCATCATTGTCACTCGCACAAATTATTTAATTTGTCACTTTTTTGCTGTCATATTTTGAGCGAGGGTGATAATAACACTTTGTGATATGTTTTAATCGTCCACTTCTAATAAAATAAACGATACAAAATAAAATCTTCAACAAAACAAAACGAATGTATCTGCTCTACATCACAACCATGTGTACACTAATGTTTGGAACATACCCGGTATCATACATTTCAATAATTACGTAAGCAATGTATATACGAGTTTGTATGTATGCGTGAACCATCTACGTCTTATTGTTACCAATGTCAAAGCCAAAAACTGTTGTCTCATCAGCTCGTGTTGTCTCACTCATGCCCACGCGCATCGTATGTTTTTTTTTTGGTTTGTATTGGCCTTGAATAGGTCACGCATACATTCAAACTCATCACTTTTTTATAGGAGTGTGAGTCATTAGAATGTTAGACGAATTTCAATGTACGAATTATTCTGACTGACAAGAACTTGGTTCGTCTCATTGTTCGGCAGATTTCTCTTTCAATATAATTGTTCCAACATTCATTGCTTGACACATACAAATGTATATTGTCTTGAGTTATTAAAACATGGATTGGTACTGCTCTCTTTGAAAACGTTATTGCAGAAATTTAAAATCGTGAAATTTTAATTTAGAAAAAAAGGTTCATCGTAATAAATGAACAATGTGCCATAAACTTTCACAATAGTATGTGCATAAAAAATGTCTTATCGTATGCATTTTTATCACTCGGCACATTTTTTAAATTTGAATTAGGAACAGTTGTAGCAAACAAAAGAGAAGATTAAGGCTAAATTAATTTACACACCTATTATTATTGACGTAAACATTCAAATGAATAAAAAAAATGGTCCTATCGCACAAATCTTTTTCGAACAATCTACTAAATCATCTGTTTTCCAAAGTTAGCATTCAATTTACAGTTCACTGTACGAAATTTGATTAAATATTTAACCGAAATATTTACGGTTAGAATTTCCATATGTGCAATATTTTCTATCAACTGAGCATTGTTTCTTGCTTCAAAATATTTTTCACATAAATCACTTTCATTGTAAACGCGCACCAGAGCAAACGTGAAAGAAAAACTTTGCAATTGAAATAAGAAATTAATTTGGAATATTTAATATGGAGTCAATCGTAAAGCAAAATGGTAATAGTAGCGAGTCAAAAGTGGCGTTGATAACTGGAATAACAGGACAAGTATGTGATTTTAATTGAACCGAGCACCAAACACACGACTACCCGGCGTTATTTCTAACTAGCCTGTGCGAACTCTCATAACACATAGAATTTTCATAATACATCGGAATAACCGTTCGGCGAAGGCGTCGGTTCGGAAAAAATATAGTACCATATAAGGGCAGAACGATTTTATTTTTGTTTAAAGAATAATAATTTAACTGAGTAATTGAAATTGCTTATAAAAATGTCCAGAAGTGTTGAAGTCATTTGTTCTGCCGATATGCGAAACCCATACAATTTCTGAGTCACACATCTGTGCGATGAATTTTTGTTTCTATTTGAATTCTTCTGATTTAAGTTCGAAGCTGGAAATACCGTCACATGGATCTATCCACTTAGATGAAACCATTCAAAGTGTGTATGAGATGAATTATGGTAAATTTTAATTTTGTGATATTTAATGAGCCTGAATTTGGTATATTGCACTCGAAAAATCGAAATTTCTCAAAATTTGTCTGAATTCACATGGTTTCATCGAAGCAGATCCATCTGACGGTATTCCCCGGATAAAGTAAACCATATTTTTTTTGCCATTACATTTGCATGAACATACGCAGTGAGAGCTATTTTTCGTATCCATGTGTGATTGTTTAACTTTATTGTTTACGTTTAAAACAAACGTTCTTTATTGTTGTCGTTTTATTGCTTTAATTTATGAGATTCATGTATAAATGAAATCAAATAGTACCATAATATGTACAGCGTTTGAATATGGATAGGGTGTTCGTGCCATATAAAGTAATTACCGCGATCATTATCAGTTAAGAAATGAAATATTTCCTGTACGTTCTTCTAACACATGCCGCGAATATTTTTTTTATAATCAAAGATTTATTTTTTCTTATCTGTACCAAACCCATTATTTAACATTATTTCGTAGAAGATTTTATTTGGTTTTAACGTATAATTTAATCTTTTTCATCAATTCCATCCTAATCTTCAAAGTTTTCTTCATTTTTCGTTGTGGTAAAATGATCCATGAACAAATTTGAATACACTTTGATCAAGTACAATGATAATATTGAATTTGATTTTTGATATTAAAATGAGCGATACAGATTAACATGATAAAGAAGCCGAATTTATGCTTATTTGTAGGATGGTTCGTATTTGGCCGAATTTCTGTTGAATAAGGGTTATACTGTTCATGGCATAATACGACGATCATCTTCATTTAATACCGGTCGCATAGCGCACTTGTATGCCGATCCGAGTAGCCATCAAGGCGGAAAGATGACGTTGCATTATGGTGATATGACTGATAGCAGCAGTTTGGTCAAAGTGATAGCGGCGGCTCGTCCAACCGAAATATACAACTTGGCTGCCCAAAGTCATGTAAAGGTGTCATTTGAACTCAGTGAGTACACCGCCGAAGTTGATGCCGTTGGAACGTATCGTTTGCTTGATGCAATTCGCACGTGTGGACTAGAGAAACAGGTGAAATTTTATCAAGCCAGCACCTCCGAGCTGTATGGAAAAGTGGCTGAAACACCTCAAACCGAAAAAACTCCATTTTATCCCCGATCGCCTTATGGTATCCTTTTCAATTTCATTGCCTGTGATTGAAGTTGAGCGTTAGTTTTTAATTAAATTGGATTATTTTCAGCTTGTGCCAAAATCTGTGCCTATTGGGTAAGAAAAATTGACTGATGTGAAAAATCACCGTTGGCAGCATTGCGGATACCAAACTCACTACAGTCATTATTTTTATGTTTTTTTTCTTCAAATTTTTTATATAGGTTGTGATTAACTATCGCGAAGCATACCAAATGTTTGCGTGTAACGGAATTTTATTTAATCATGAGTCACCACGACGCGGTGAAAATTTTGTAACCCGGAAAATAACACGTTCGATTGCCAAAATATTTTTGAATCAAATGGATTGCTTTGAATTGGGAAATTTGGACTCGAAACGTGATTGGGTAATTTATTATTCTAAATATAATTTGCGATCAATTATACTACATTCAGTTTGTTTCGTCTGGCTCATCAGTAATTGACGTCATTGATTGAAAAGTAATTTACATTTATTCGATTTGCTTTATTCAAGGGGCATGCAAAAGACTATGTCGAGGCGATGTGGTTGATGCTACAGCAAAAAGAACCGCAAGATTTCGTTGTGGCTACTGGCGAAACGCATAGTGTACGCGAATTTGTAGAAACTGCATTTGATGTAATTGGCCGTAAGATTGTGTGGCGAGGAGAAGGCGTTAATGAACTAGGTATTGAGGCCGGCACGGACATCGTACGCGTTAAAATCAATCCGAAATATTTTCGACCGACTGAAGTTGATCTTTTGCTTGGAGATCCATCAAAAGCACAACGTGAATTGGGTTGGAAACGAAAAGTATCATTTTTACAACTGGTTGAAGACATGATCAGTTCAGATATAAAATTGATGCGAACCAACCCTCACGCATAATGACGATTTGTTAAATTTTCTGAAGATTTTTGAAAGTGTTGACATCGGACAGGATGACTTAAGGAAGCAAATATCCCAATCTTGTGTTATATTTTTTTTTTAATTTTAAACGGTCTTTCAATCTGTGTTGCTGAATAACAATTTTATGTATTACGTCAAAAAATTGAAATTCTAAATGATTAAGGTAAAAACGACTCATATGTTTGCTGTACAACGTTTGCATACATCTGTGTTCTAAATATAGTTTCCAAATAACAGCACTCTCAATTTATGCACTATATCGATGCCGCAATAATAATTGAACCAAATATTGACAAAACAGCATTGATTCAAGATTTATTTAGGTGTTCATCTAAATTTTATAAAGTGCATTGACTTAACTAATGTTATATTTTGTGCCTCTTATTCTGAAAATGTTCTACTTATATGAATTTAATAATAATAAAATTATTTTATGATATCGAATTTCGTGTAATTCATAAAAGAAAACAAATCCATCTGAAATTTTTTCAGTATTTTAAAATACTTAGATACCTTAGAATTCTAAGGGTCCTTCTAACACACTTTTTAATAGATGTATTATTGTAGGTGCGAATTTAATTTGTAAAATTGACTTTGAAAAAACAAAAAAAAAAAAAATTTGTCAGAAGGGAGATTCGAACTCCCGCCCAC